TGAGATGTGTTCCACACTGGGCATGCGTACTCAGCAGCAGAATAGCACAGCGCAAGGGCAGATGTCTTCACTTGGCCCACTGTAGTGTCTTAACTCTGTGTCATGTTGGATCTTGCCCATTCCAAAAGCCTAAGCTTTTCAGGAGTCATCCTCTGTCAGATTTGTGTATGTTCCTTTTGTAGGATGTTTGGTGCCCACAAGTTCTGCCATTTGTGCTTTACTTGCCTAGCACTGGTTCTTGGGGTCCTCTTGAGAACCTGCTGCCCTTCAGTTGCTGCCACTTGACGGGTACCTTTCCTTAACTTTGTCCCACGTATTTTGTTATGATGGGGATTCTGACCATCTATACCTCGTATAAGGAGAAGAGCATCTTCCTGGTAGCACACAGAAGAGATCCAGCAGGAATGGATCCCGATGACATCTGGCAGCTTTCCTCAAGCCTGAAAAGGTATCAGCCCCATTCCAGAGTCTCTCTGGTGGTTTCTCAAGTCACTGTGCGCTCTCTGCAGGCTATTCTTCATGTATTCTTCAACTCCCTACAGCAGCGTTTCTCAACCTGGTCATTGGGACCCATGGGGGGTAGGTTGTGAGGGGGTGTCGAGAGGGGTCACCAAAGACCATCAGAAAACACAGTATTTTGTGTTGGTCATGGGGATTCTGAGTGGGAAATTTGACCCAATTCTATCATTGGTGGGGTTGCGAAAGCTTTTTGATTGTAGATGAAGTATAAATCCCAAATCCCCTATGAGGAGCGGCTTAAGGAGCTGGGCATGTTTAGCCTGAAGAAGAGAAGGCTGAGAGGGGATATGATAGCCATGTATAAATATGTGAGAGGAAGCCACAGGGAGGAGGAGGGAGCAAGCTTGTTTTCTGCTTCCCTGGAGACTAGGACGCAATGGAACAATGGCTTCAAACTACAAGAGAGGAGATTCCATCTGAACATGAGGAAGAACTTCCTGACTGTGAGAGCCGTTCAGCAGTGGAACTCTCTGCCCCAGGGTGTGGTGGAGGCTCCTTCTTTGGAAGCTTTTAAACAGAGGCTAGATGGCCATCTGTCAGGGGTGATTTGAATGCAATATTCCTGCTTCTTGGCAGAATGGGGTTGGACTGGATGGCCCAGGAGGTCTCTTCCAACTCTTTGATTCTATGTTTCTAACTACAACTCCCAAATGTAAAGATCTATTTCCCCCAATCTCCACCTGTGTTCACACTTCGGCATATTGAGCATTTGTGCCAAGTTTGGTCTAGATCCATCTACAAGTTCCCTGCTTCCCGTTTGTGTCTCCCTCCCAGGTTTGATGACAAATACACCCTCAAAATGACGTTCATCAGCGGGCGAACCAAGCAGCAGCGGGAGGCCGAGTTCACCAAGTCCATCGCCAAGTTCTTTGACGAGAACGGCACCTTGGTGATGGAGGCCTTTGAGCCGGAGGTCTCCAAGCTCCACGACAGCCTCCTCACGGAAAGGAAGACCAAGTAGGCGAAGCCCAGCGCCCGCCTTGCCAAGTTTAAGCCAATAAAGCAAAATAGCAACGAATGTGCGCCTCTGTTGTCGTCCTGAGAAATCCTCTCTCTTCCCACTCTCTTGTCTTCCCTTCCTCTCGCAAGAGAAGGAGGATTTTTATAACCTAGGACTGGCAAAGCAGAAGCAGAAAGGGTCTAATTCCGATTGGCTTCGCCTCGCTTTCGATCGGCATCTCAACCTGCTTTGTTCCCCTAAATTGAAACTCGGAAAGAGGGAGAGACTCCCGCATCACCCCACTTGCCCCACTGGCGCCTTCCAGAGCGTGTTGGACTACATTTCGTGGCCTGGGGATGGCGGCAGGGGTAGTCCAGCACATTTGGAAGGCCCTGCGTTTTAGAAAAAGCTGCTGCGTAACCCACTCTCCCTTTTAAAAAAAAAATTAGCAGGGCTTTTTCAGGCAGCACCAAAAGCAGTGCTGCTTTGGGGGATTGATTCCCAGCTTCAGCCACGGGAGGAATTTAGGTTGACTTTTATAGTGGCAACTGGAGGCAATACACACCTAGTTTTTTAAAAAGTCTGTTTCCATCCACATTCTCTTTGTCTGTTAATTTATCAAACCAGGAAAAGGGAACTATTATTCTTTTGTACAGATCCTTTTGCTGCATGAAGTAGAGACAGAATGAGAGAGAGAGAGAGACTTTGGGGGGAGAAAACCAAGCAAAATCAGAATGGTGGATCTACCTGCTTCCCAATATATTTCAGGTCCAAATTGATAGCGAGAGTTTTTGAATCAGAAACGGAGCGTTTTACGAAGCTGTTTCATCCGGTGACATTCTGTCTCATGTGGTGCATTCAATTCATGCTGAACAATCTCTTCCTTCACTCTTATATAAACTGCCATTTTCTAAAATGACTTTTTTTTCCAATAAAAGGAGGAAACTTAAGTGACAACGGTGTGGGTGTGTTCATGGCTGGCGTGTCCATTTAATGCCTCTCTCTTCTGCGTTTCACGGTTTCTTTGTTGATAGACATACATAACATACACAAAACCTTAGCAGCATACAGGTTTGTTGCATTCGTGCTGCTGCAGAAATTGAGGAAGTTCCAACAGACCTCACTACCTCTGAGGATGAGCTCCAACAGACAAGAGTCTTTTGTCCCACCCTGGTCATTCCATAGATATATAAATCCTTTTTCCTAGTTCCAACAGACCTCACTACCTCTGAGGATGCTTGCCATAGATGCAGGCGAAACGTCAGGAGAGAATGCCTCTAGAACATGGCCATATAGCCTGGAAAAAACCTACAACAACCCTATTGAGGAAGTGTTAGGTCTATTGGGCCTTGTCAGTGGCCATGCGGTCGGGGGCTGATGGGAATTCAACAAGATCTGGAGCAGTGTTTCTCAACCTGGGGGTCACGAAGAGGGTGTCAGAGGAATCACCAAAGACCATCAGAAAACACAGCTCCAACAGACAAGAGTCCTTTGTCCCACCCTGGTCATTCCACAGATATATAAACCCCTTTTCCTAGTTCCAACAGACCTCACTACCTCTGAGGATGCTTGCCATAGATGCAGGCGAAACGTCAGGAGAGAATGCCTCTAGAACATGGCTACGTAGCCCGAAAAAAACCCTACAACAACCCAGAAAACACAGTATATTCTGTTGGTCATGGGGGTTCTGTGTGGGAAGTTTGGTCCAATTCTATCATTGGTGGGGCTCAAAATGCTCTTTGATTGTAGATGAACTAAATCCTGAGAATTCTCAAATGTCACAGTCTATTTCCCCCAAACTCCACCAGTGTTCACATCTGGGCATCTTGAAGATTCGTACCAAGTTTGGTCCAGATCCTTCATTGTCTGAGTCCATTGTGCTCTCTAGATGTAGGTGAACTACAACTCCCAAACTCAAGGACAGTCCCCACCTAACCCTTCCAGCATTTTCTGTTGGTCATGGGAGTTCTGTGTGCCAAGTTTGGTTCCATTCCATCGTTGGTGGAGATCAGAATCCTTTTTGATTGTAGGTTAGCTATACATCCCAGCAACTACAACTCCCAAATGTCAAGATCTATTTTCCCCAAACTCCAGTGTTCACATTTGGGCATATTGAGTATTTGTGCCAAGTTTGGTCCACATCCATCATTGTTTGAGTCCACTGCTCTCTGGATGTAGGTAAACTACAACTCCAAAACTCAAGGTCACTGCCCACCAAACCCTTCTAGCATTTTCCATTGGTCATGGGAGTTCCGTGTGCCAAGTTCGATTCAATCCCATCGTTGGTAGAGTTCAGAATGCTCTTTGGTTGTAGGTGAACTATAAATCCCAGCAACTACAACTCCCAAATATCAAGGTCTATTTCCCCCAAACTCCACCAGTATTCACATTTGGCATATTGAGTATGGAGTCAAGAGTCTGAACATGCCTAGTTCTGATCACATGGTCTGCAGCCCTTCCCACAGCCACGGGGGAGCTGCTGCTTCATCATCCAGTTGTGACACCAATCCTTGATGGAGGACTTCCTCATTCTTCTGCACACTGCTGGAAGGTTTTATGGTGTCATAAATTACTTAAATTAGCCTCCCCACATAAAGTGGTACCTACATTTCCTACTTGACAGATACAACTGTCTTTCGGGCTGCATAGGTCAACAGCAAGCTAGACTATTAATGGTCAGGGAATGCCATGGATGGACATACCTGGATTTCAGGAAGGCCTTCGACAAGGTCCCCCATGACCTTCTGGCAAAGAAACTAGTCCAATGTGGGCTAGGCAAAACTACGGTGAGGTGGACCTGTAATTGGTTAAATGGACGAACCCAGAGGGTGCTCACCAATGCTTCCTCTTCATCCTGGAAAGAAGTGACGAGCGGAGTGCCGCAGGGTTTCGTCCTGGGCCCGGTCCTGTTCAACATCTTTATTAATGACTTAGATGAAGGGTTAGAAGGCAGGATCATCAAGTTTGCAGACGACACCAAATTGGGAGGGAGAGCCAAGACTCCAGAGGACAGGAGCAGGATTCAAAACGATCTTGACAGATTAGAGAGATGATGGGCCAAAACTAACAAAATTAAGTTCAACAGGGACAAATGCAAGATACTCCACTTTGGCAGGAAAAACGAAATGCAAAGATACAGAATGGAGGACAAGGCCTGGCTCGAGAGCAGTACGTGTGAAAAAGATCTTGGAGTCCTCGTGGGGAGGAAGGTGAACATGAGCCAGGAATGTGATGTGGCGGCAAAAAAAGCCAATGGGACTTTGGCCTGCATCAAGAGGAGCCTAGTGTCTAGATCTAGGGAAGTCATGCTCCCCATGCTCTATTCTGCCTTGGTTAGACCACACCTGGAATATTGTGTCCTATTCTGGGCACTACAACTCAAGAGAGATATTGACTCTAAGCTGGAATATTGTGTCCTGAGGAGGGCGACTAAAATGATCAAGGGTCTGGAGAACAAGCCCTATGAGGAGCGGCTTAAGGAGCTGGGCATGTTTAGCCTGAAGAAGAGAAGGCTGAGAGGAGACATGATAGCCATGTATAAATATGTGAGAGGAAGCCACAGGGAGGAGGGAGCAGATCAAGGGTCTGGAGAACAAGCCCTATGAGGAGCAGCTTAAGGAGCTGGGCATGTTTAGCCTGAAGAAGAGAAGGCTGAGAGGGGATATGATAGCCATGAATCAATATGTGAGGGGAATCCACAGGGAGGAGGGAGCAGATTAAGGGTCTGGAGAACAAGCCCTATGAGGAGCGGCTTAAGGAGCTGGGCATGTTTAGCCTGAAGAGAAGGATGAGAGGAGATGATAGCCATGTATAAATATGTGAGAGGAAGCCACAGGGGGAGGGAGCAGATCAAGGGTCTGGAGAACAAGCCCTATGAGGAGCGGCTTAAGGAGCTGGGCATGTTTAGCCTGAAGAAGAGAAGGCTGAGAGGAGATATGATGAGAGCCATGTATAAATATGTGAGAGGAAGCCACAGGGAGGAGGGAGCAAGCTTGTTTTCTGCTTCCCTGGAGACTAGGACGCAGGAACAATGGCTTCAAACTACAAGAGAGGAGATTCCATCTGAACATGAGGAAGAACTTCCTGACTGTGAGAGCCGTTCAGCAGTGGAACTCTCTGCCCCGGCGTGTGGTGGAGGCTCCTTCTTTGGAAGCTTTTAAACAGAGGCTGGATGGCCATCTGTCAGGGGTGATTTGAATGCAATATTCCTGCTTCTTAGCAGAATGGGGTTGGACTGCATGGCCCAGGAGGTCTCTTCCAACTCTAGGATTCTATGATTCTATATACAACCAGCAGGAAAAACAGAAGTGGGGCTTGTTGTGGGCGGAGCTAAATCAAAAGAGGCGTGGCTCGCCCGGCCCAATAGGCGTGCTTAGGAGGCTATGCCCCGCCCCTTCTAACTCCTCCCCTTTCCCCTTGCCTTGGCTGTCATTTGGCGACAGGGAAGCAAAGAGAGAAGGTGGTTTGTTTGGATTGCTAGGCCGCAGATAGCAGGGTGAGTATTTGCAAGGAAATTAGGCCCCAAATAGCTCTGCACTGAGGAATGGAGGCAGTTTGACGCTGCTTTAACTGCCTTAGCTCAAGGTATGTTAGGGTACAATGATATGCTAACAGAGGCTGGATGGCCATCTGTTGGGGGTGCTTTGAATGCAATATTCCTGCTTCTTGGCAGAATGGGGTTGGACTGGATGGCCCACCAGGTCTCTTCCAACTCTAGGAGTCTAGGATTCCATCCTGGGAGTTGTAGTTTGGCATAATTTGGTAGAGAAGGCCAAAAGGCCTTGGGGAAACTACAACTCCCAAAGATCCACCTCATTGGAGAAGGCAGGGCTTGGAGAAGAGCAGTTTCCAGAATGATTGCAACACCCAGAATCCCCTGCCAGTCATTTGTATTGATACTATGTTAAAGGGGATTTTAATTGTCTGTTTTGTTTAATTAATTATATTTTAATATTTGCATGTTGTGGATTTTGAAATCCCCCCCCCCCTTTTTTTAAAAAATAATGGCTGCTTTACTTCTGTGGGTTTCAAAAATGTTTTTATGGACTTAATATCATACGAAAGCTGACTGGCACAACCTGGGGATCACAACCAGACACAGTGAAGACATCTGCCCTTGCGCTGTGCTACTGTGCTGCTGAGTATACGCATGCCCAGTGTGGAACACATCTCACCACGCTAAAACAGTGGATGTGGCTCGTAATGAGACATGCCGCATTATCACGGGGTGTCTGCGCCCTACACCACTGGAGAAATTACACTGCTTAGCCGGTATTGCACCACCTGACATCCGCCGGGAAGTAGCAGCCAATAGTGAAAGGACCAAGGCAGAGACATCTCCAGCTCATTCCCTGTTTGGGTATCAGCCAGCACGTCAACGACTTAAATCTAGAAATAGTTTTCTAAGATCTACAGAGACACTCGCTGGAACACCCCAGCAAGCGAGAGTCCAAAAGTGGCAGGCTCAGATGAGAGACTCCCTCCTGGGCACACAGAGGACTGGGCGACTTGGAAAGCATAACTCAAAAACCACTGGGCGAAATGACACGAAATTTGGACACTACACCCCTAACAGACCAATGAGTTACCATCACTCGTAAACCCCTAAAAAAAAAAAACAGTGGAAAGGACTTAAAAACACCCAAAAGCTAAATGACAAAAAGCTAAATGACGATACAGAAAAAAGGGAAGGAAGAGGGAGGGAAGGAAGGGGAGAAAGAAGGAAGGAAAGGAATAAAGGAAAGAAAGAAAGAAAGAAAAGGAAGCATGGAAGCAAAGAGCAAAGGAAGGAAAGAGGTAGAGAAGGAGGAAAGGAGAGAAAGAGGAAAATAAAAGGGGGGAAGGAAAGAATGGGATAGAGAAGGAAGTAAGGAGAGAAGGAAAGAAAAAAGAAAAGGAAGCAAAGAGGGAGCGAAGGAAGAAGGGGAAGAAGTAGAGGAGGAAGAAAGGAGAAAAAGGGAAGGTAAAGAAAAAGTTAGGAAGGAAAGAGGTAGAGAGGAAAGAAGGAGAGAAGGAAAGAAGAAAAGGGAAGGAAGAGGGAGGGAAGGGGAGGAAGGGAGGAAGGAAGAGAAAGAAAGAAAGAAAGAAAAGGAAGCAAAGAGCAAAGGAAGGAAAGAGGTTGAGAACGAGGAAAGGAGAGAAAGAGGAAAAGAAAAGGGGGAAGGAAAGAGGGGTAGAGAAGGAAGGAAGGAAGGAGAGAAGGAAAGAAAAAAGGAAAGGAAGCAAAGAGGGAGTGAAGGAAGAAGGGGAAGAGATAGAGGAGGAAGAAAGGAGAAAAAGGGAAGGAAAAGAAAAACGGAGGGAAACTCAATGACAGATGAATGAATGTAAGATTAAGTCCAACAGATGCTGGTTTCTCTTATCTCCCTCAGAAGCCATGACAATCATTGGAACATAGTGGGAGGGACTACTGCAACTGCTGAGATCAAGTCAAGAAGAAATCAAATTGCAGATAAGCTTTAATCAATAGTAGACATTTTTGAATGAAATAAATTGACCACAGTGCATTGATTCAGGAAGAAAGTAATAAATTTAAGTAAATTTATAAATAAATAAAATGTAATAGTATGAAATAAAGAAATAAATAAATAAAAAATTAAAAAAAAAGAAAAAAAAAGAAAAAGATCTATAAATTATTATATTATATAAATATAAAATAAAAGGAAAGTTTCAGAATAATTTTTATAAAGTAAATTTTGGAAAAATTAATAAAAATTAAATTAATCACATTTTATAATATATAAATATTAATAGTTAATATAAGGTAAATAAATAGTAAAATTTATTTATTTACTATTCATTAAGTATATTTATATAATAAATAATAGATGAAGGGCGAGAAAAGAAGTAACTAATTAATTAACTAATTAAAGTAAGGTTTATTTCCATTTAAGAGGAGAGACTGGATTGTAATTTTGTCCACGAACAACACATGGTGTAATATAATATATCTAAATAAAAATGCAAGTTCTTCTGTGGGATTAACATAACTCAAAAACCACTGAATTGACACCAAATTTGGACACAAGACACCTCTCAGGCCATCGAGTGACCATCACTCATAAAAACCCTGAAAAACACAGCAGAAGGGACTTAAAAGCCATTAAAAATACATTACAAGCATGCACAACACCATATATATATACGCAAACACACATAAACACAAATATATACACACACAAAGCACAGACCATGCCACAGCAACACATGGCTGGGGACGGCTAGTAAACAATAAATAAAGAAATTCTTCTCGTTCTTTTCCCTCTTCTCCAGCATATGTGGGACATCCCAGAAAACATGTCCAGGTCTGAGAAAGTGACTCTTTTCCGCCAAGAAGCGCCCAACGGCTTGACGTACCGCATCCCGGCCTTGCAGTACCTGCCTTCGGAGTCGTCTTTCCTGGCGTTTGCCGAAAAGCGGTCCTCTTTCCGGGACGAAGATGCCGAGTTCCTGGTGATGAGAAGAGGGAAGAAAGAGGGGGTGTCAGTCCAGGTAATGCCAAGGGTGGAATATATCTGCAGTCAATATATTGTCAAAGGCTTTCATGCCTGGAATCACTGGGTTGTTGTGAGTTTTCTAGACTGTCTGGCCATGTTCCAGAAGCATTCTCTCCTGACGTTTCGCCTGCATCTATGGCAGGCGTCCTCAGAGGTTGTGAGATCTGTTGGAAACTAGGAAAATGGGGTTTATATATTTGAGAGAAAGAAGTTTTGTCTGTTGGAGCTAGGTGTGACCGTTGCAATTGGCCAGCTTGTTTAGTATAAAATGGCCTGGCAGTTTCAAGGTCTGGCTTCTTACTGCCTTTGTTGGGAGGTGATTATCTACAGTCGTCCCTCCGCATTGGCTGTTATCAAGGCAGGCATGGGCAAACTTTGGCCCTGTTGCAACCCAGAGCAGGAAACGAGACCCTAAGACAACAACCCACCACACCTGACTGTGGGAAAAATCAATCCCTTTTTATTGATGAAAAATGGTTACAAAATAGAAGAAAATGCAAGTCAAAAAGCCACAGTAAAAATCAGCAATCAGAAATATCCATGAACTAGATCAAAAACCAAAAGCAACACTGTAAAATCCTGGAACCTGTTAGCAATCCACTAACCGTACTTGGAGCACTAGAAGCCTCTTGGGATGAAGGCCACGGGAAACGGGAGATCTGCCAAGGTAATGCCTCAGTCTAAAACGATGCCTGATCTAAAGAGTCAACCCGGCGAGAGGCACTTAAAGCCGAGGAATCTGTTTCGTGACACGCCTCCAGGCTTTGAAGCCCTTGTTTCTTTTTCTTTCAATCTGGCTGACCTTCGCAGACTCTGCGATTCACCCCTGTTTTGCCAGATCTGTCCTCTTCTATCCTCATTAAGGATCCCAGGTGTTAGCTGCTCTGGAGAGCTATCACTGCTTGGCTCTGAAACAGTTTCACTTTCCAAGCCACTGACGTCAGAATCAACATTTTCATTACCATCAGGGAAAAATACATGTTCAGTAGCATCAGGAAATACAATCAGAGAATCAGGTTCAGGTTCACATGCAGGCTGAACCCCAACACTCCGGGCCCTCCAGGTGTTTTGGACTTCAACTCCCACAATCCCTAACAGCCGGTAGGCTGTTAGGAATTGTGGGAGTTGAAGTCCAAAACACCTGGAGGGAGGACCAAAGTTTGACCATGTCTGAGTTAAGGGCACTCAATTTATTTATTTATTTATTTATGACATTTATCTGCCACCTTTCTCACCCCGAAGGGGATTCAGACCGGCTTACAAGTAATATGTAAATACAATATATTTTATTATTAGCATAGCATAATATTAGTATTACATACTAGCCGTCCCCTGCCATGCTTTGCTGTTTTCTGTGTGTAGATATGAGTATATGTGTGTGTGTATATGTGTATATATGTGTATATATGTGTGTTTGTGTATATATGTGGTTTTGTGCATGCATTGTAATGTATTTGGGGGGGGGGGTTGGATTTTTAAGTCCCTTCTGCTGTGGTTTTCAGTGTTTTTATGAGTGATAGTCACTTTTTGGACTGATAGGTGTCTGATTTTGTCCAAATTTGGTGTCAATTAGTCCAGTGGTTTTTGAGTTCTGTTAAGCCCACAAAGGAACATTACATTTTTATTTATATAGATTATTATATTGTACTATACCATTATACTGTAATATTATTAGTAATATTACATGTAATATAAAATATATAATTATAATATCATATATTATTATTATATTGTATTACATTATAATATTATCAATATTATATGTATATACAATATATTATATTATATTGCCATATTGTACTATACAATTCTACTGGAATATTATTAGTATATATAATTATAATATAATATTATTAGTAGTATTATATTGTATTACATTATAATATTATCAATATTATATGTGTATACAATATATTATATTATATTGCTATAGTGTACTATACAATTTTACTGCAATATTAGTATATAATTATAATACCATATTATTATTAGTATTATATTGTATTACATTATATTATTATATATTATTGTATATACATGTTATTTATATTATATTATATATTAGTATTATATAATTATAATATCATATTATTATTAGTATTATATTGTATTACATTATAATATTATCAATATTATATTGCCATATTGTACTATACAATTCTACTGTAATATTATTAGTATATATAATTATAATATCATATTATTATTAGTATTATATTGTATTACATTATAATATTATCAATATTATATGTATATACAATATGTTATGTTATATTATATTATATTAGTATATTATATAATTATAATATATATTATTAGTAGTATTATATTGTATTACATTATATATATCAATATTATATGTGTATACAATATATTATATTATATTGCTACATTGTACTATACAATTCTACTGTAATATTATTAGTATATATAATTATAATATCATATTATTATTAGTATTATATTGTATTACAATATAATATTATCAATATTATATGTGTATACAATTATACCATACCATACCATACCATACCATACCATACCATACCATACCATACCATTACCATACCATACCATACCATACCATACCATACCATACCATACCATACCATATTATATTATATTATATTATATTATATTATATTAGTTGCCTAATGGCTGAGAAGAGCAGTATACAAGTAAAGTAAAGTAAAGTAAATATATTATATTATATTATATTATATTATATTATATTATATTATATTATATTATATTATATTATATTATATTATATTATATTATATTATATTATTATTAGCTTCACTCTGATCCCAATAACAAAGCCATGTTGAATCTCCCTCTCTTCTCTTCTTCTAGTGGGGCCCACAAGAGTCCCTCGTGACGGCCGCGCTGCCCAACCACCGCACCATGAACCCGTGCCCCGTGTTCGAGAAGACCTCCGGCACCCTCTTCCTCTTCTTCATATGTGTGGAGACCCCCATCACGGAGTGGCACCAGATCCGAACAGGACAAAATGCCGCCAGGCTGTGCTACGTCTCCAGTCGCGACGGTGGCCGCACTTGGAGCCCGACCGTCGACTTGACCGAGCGGGTGATCAGGGATGATTTAGAAAATTGGGCCACATTTGCCGTCGGACCCGGCCACGGCATCCAGCTGAGCTCTGGGCGGTTAGTGATCCCGGCTTACACCTACTACATCCACGAGCGTCGCTCAGGACATGTGCCAACCTGCACTACACGGCCGCATTGCTTCACTTTGTACAGTGACGACGGGGGCCGGAATTGGACCCGCGGCCAGCTTCTTCGGGACTTGCGGACGACCGAGTGCCAGGTTGCCGAACTGACCCATTGGGACGAGAGTCGGGTGCTGTATTGCAGCGCCCGCAGTCCCGACAAGAGCCGGGCCGAGGCGTTTGGGGCAGTTGGCGGAGACCAATTCGAGAAATCCTCCTTGTGCAAACAGTTGTGCGAGCCGCCACACGGTTGCCAGGGCAGCATAGTGAGTTTCACTCCAGTGAGAATTCCCTCCGACGAGAACGGAATGGAAGTCGTTGGTGAATCCATCAACCCATTAGGCCTTCTTTCTTCCTCTGTGCCGCAAAAGAGCACCAAATCGTGGCTGGTTTTCTCCCATCCCACGCAAGGTCACAAGCGTCTCGACTTGGGCCTCTACCTAAATAGCTCCCCGTTGGATCCGGGCTCCTGGAAGGGCCCCTGGGTGCTGCACAAGGGCCCCTGCGGATACTCGGACCTGGCCCTCTGCGAGGAGGGAGACGAGCAAATATTTGGCTGTCTGTTTGAATGCGGCGCGACCCGCGAGTGCGAAGAGATCGCCTTTCAGTTATTTAAAAGTGACGAGCTCCTGAAAAACGTGGCACGGAGCTGCTCTTGTGGTGCTTCTGCAGCACAACCACAATAGTGGCCCCAAACAACACTCAAGTTGTTTCTTTTTCCCATTTTTGCTTACGTCTGCTTCCATATTTGATTCCAAAAGTCCTTGTTTTCAAGTCTCATAATTCAAGTATCCGTATATGTGAAGAAAGGTGACCCAGTGGCTACCTGCATTGCACAATTACAGCAGTGCCATGCCACTTTACCTGCCTTGTTTACATCCTATGTAACCCTGGGATCTATAGTTTGGTTTACAACCTTTTCCCATGTTGATTACTTTTCTCTGGACGCCTCCCATTGTGTCAATAGACTGTATTTCTTGGATTGACTTGCTAGAAGCAGCTTTGTTAAGGCCAGTCTGGGTAAAACACCTGCGACTTTTGTGTCTTTTTCCAAAAGCTTGGTTTCATATTATTTTGTTTATTTTCAGTTTTCTGGGATTTATAGTTTGGTTTATAACCTTTTCCCATTTTGATCACTTTTCTCTGGACACTTCCCATTGTGTTAATATACTGCATTTTCTGGAAATACAGTATATTAAGCAGCTTTGTTTACGCCAGTCTGGGTTAGACACTGGGCCTGTAGCAATTGTCTATTAACAGGACGTGGTCTTTATATGCCCAGCGAGACGCCCAGAGTGCCTCGGCTGAGAGGCCCTATGGATTTCCCTATACAAAGTCTTTAGAAGCTTAGAAAGTTTAACAAGGTTCTTTATTAATGCTTAAATCTTCAACAAATCAATCAAATATTTTAAAACTCTGGAAAACTTTCTTAATCTGCCCACAAGGGACAGGCAACTTGCTTCATGAACTGTTTCTTTCTTCTATAAAGGAAATCCTTCGACCCCTCCCTGGGCAATCTGTTCTTAGGCTGGCGTGGGGCCCTACTCCCGGTTCAATTTGCTTTATGGGTAACCCGAGTAGCCCTTACCGGCCAAGACTTTATAGATATTCCAGCTGGTGTCCTTACCTTCCTGCAAAGCTGGCTGTATTTCTTAGTAAAGCTGTGGAAGTGCTTTGCCCAGAAGTTGTGGGGCTGTAGATTCCCCAGCAAAACTTTTAGAACTGTTTTCCCCCAAAGTTTGTGAGAAACGAAGCTTTCTACAGGTGGGAGAATCTCACACATCCTGTTGGAAAGGCTTCTCCGCAATAACTGAGCTAAAGGTCCCTTTTCCCCCCTAAACCCTGGGGAAAGGGGCGGATCTAAAGGCTGCAACAGTGATTGACAGGTTGCTGGCCCTATAACTGCAATCTGGAAGAAGCTACCAAATTGCAAAGTGCATAGCCTTCAGGAATTCATGCAAACAAGCAAAGAAAGAAAAACGGAATTCAAACCCCTGGCACAACCGTGCCAGAACAGACACTTTTGTGTCGTTTGCCAAAAATTTGGTTTCATACTATTTTGTTTATATCCTGCTATTTTCCCCATGCAGTTTTCTATAATTGTCTACCTTTAATTCCATCTTAATCTATTGCGATTTTTGGAGGAGAATTGTATAATTTTCATGTTCAATGAGATCTGTTAGTTTGGCTTGATCAGTTGTGCTTCGAAAGTGGGAGGAACCATCTAATTTTAAATTACCGTATATACGCGAGTATAAGCCGACCCAAATATAAGCCGAGGCACCTAATTTTACCACAAACAAACTGGGAAAATGTATTGATTCGAGTATAAGCCGAGGGTGGGAAATGCGGCAGCGACTGGTCAATTTCAAAATAAAAATAGATACCAATATAATTACATTAATTGAGGTTGTAATTTAAGATAAGAGTGCCCAACTCAGATTCAACCCTTATTCTGACCACCTTCAATGTAAATGTGATTACACATCCTTCCAATAATAATAAATAGAATAAAATAATAAATGCAATAATAATAATAGAGTAAAACAATGGAAATGTAATAATAACAGCAATAATAGAGTTAAATAATAAATGATAATAACAATAATAAAGTAAAACAATAAATGTAATAATAATAATACATTTATTATGTATTTATAACAAAGTAAAATAATAAATAACACTGACTTGAGTATAAACCAAGGGGGACTTTTTCAGCCTAAAAAAGGGCTGAAAAACTAGGCTTATACTCAAGTATATACAGTACTTCACAGAAATTTTTGACATGCTCAATGCCCCCTGGTTGATTCCTACCTGATAGGGGTTGAAATACTGTGCTTTCTTGAATTGGAAGGCTTTTAGTGATTGTTAAGATGCTTCAAAGGCCACAAAAGAGTGTCTAACCCTTTCTTATCACAGTTAATAAGTTTAGACAAATAATATAACAATCTATTGTCGAAGGCTTTCATGGCCAGAATCACTGGATTGTTGTGTGCTTTCCAGGCTGTCTGGCCATGTTCCAGAAGCATTATCTCCTCACGTTTCACCCACATCTATGGCAGGCATACTCAGAAATTGTGAGGTTCTTACCAAGGCAGTAAGAAGCCAGACTTTGAAACTGATAGGGCATTAAATGGTAATCAAACCATGAAAATGAACAAAATCTGGCTGCCAGTATTAAAAAAAACTCTAAAATTATAACTGTAAATAAAGAACAACACTCAAACACAGGGGAACTAAATACAAGAAACAATCAGGTACAGCTAATCACCTCTCAACAAAGGATTCCCCCAGGCAGTAACAAGCCACAACTAAAAACTGTCAGGCCACTAAAAGGCAATCAAACCATGAAAATGAACAAAATCTGGCTACCAGTATTTAAAAAACTCTAAAATTATAACTGTAAATAAAGAACAACACTCCAGACAAGAAACAATCAGGGACAGCTAATCACCTCTCAACAAAGGATTCCCCCAGGCAGTAACAAGCTACACCTAAAAACTGTCAGGCCATCAAATGCTGATCAAGGTGGACAATTGAATTATTCACACCTACCCCCAACAGACAAGAGTTCTTTCTCCCACCCTGGACATTATTCCACAGATAAATAAACCTCACTTGCCTAGTTTCCAACAGAGCTCACAACCTCTGAGGATTCCTGCCATAGATGCAGGTGAAACATCAGGAGAGAATGCTTCTGGAACATGGCCAGCTCAGAAAACTCACAGCATCCCAATTGAAGTCAATAGGGACTTTAGGAGTTTCTCCCCAGTAAGAGAGACCCCTAGGACCGCACCAAAGAGGGCCCGCAACCTTGGTGAGGACTGAGAAGACGAATTCCAGCGAGCAGGCTCCTCTCCGAAGTCCCATGGGGGAACCACATCAAGTCCCCGGGTCCGGAGCTTGGCAGAGGCGAGCGGCAGCGAGGAGCAATAAAACCGGCAATTTTTGACAATCAACTGTTTCTAATAAAATATATTCTCAAAAATCGAGAGGTTATTTCCCGGGCGTAGGGATCCAAAATAAGAAAAGCGAGATAGCAGATAGGTTTAGATTTTAGTACAGAAAAATATGACATTAAAATGGAGCCGATCCGCCATTTTATGATTTTGTGGATACCGAGATCTGAAAGGAGAAACTCAGTATCCGCGGTTTCAAATAACGCTGATCCGGCGTCCCCGGAACGCCAGGGATGCATTCCGGGCAGGCTCGCGGTTCCCCGGAGCCTGGAAAAGGTTATTTTCATGCAAGTTGATAGTTCAGGCAGGGAGAGACACAAAGTATCAAGTGGGAAAGTTAAAAAGTTGCGATTTTAAGTACTTTTATTAGGGGAATAGCTACAATGTTAGGGCTTGGGGGAAAGTGATAGAAGGGCACAGAGGCTGAGTGCAGTCCTAGTTTGAGCTGTTTGTTGGGGCACATTTCATCAGTTTGTCCCAATTGTGGCTTCTAGGAACTGCGGAACTCTCCGCTGTGCGTCAGACCAACTTGAAGGCGGGGGTCTCCGCTGCCCTCGATGACACAATGATTCCAGCCATGAAAGCCATCGACAACACATTCTTAAAAGCTGTTTTGGTTTGTATCTTCCAAGATTTTTTCAGTTCTCCATTAATTCAATGTCTTAGCAAGAGCCAAAGGCCCAGCAGTCCTGCGTTGCAAAACATGGATCTTGGGCGAAGCATGAGTTGAAGTGAAGGTAGCTTGATGCTCTCATATATAGTCCAGTCATTTCTTAATTCCACTAGTAGTGGAAGATATGAAGGAGGGTTGAGCTGAAACCGTGGCGTGTTTACACTTGTCCTATTTACTTATTGTTATGTAAATTCGTTTTATTGTGAAATCTTTAAAATACCGATTAAAAACTATTGATTTATTTACAGTATTTAAATTCCTCCCTTCTCACCCCGCAGGGGACTCGAGGCGGATTACAATGCGCATATTTATGGCAAACATTAAATGCCATTAGACATACAACATCTATAGACAGACACAGAGGCAATTTAACATTCCAGCTTTCCGGCTTCATGACGGTATGCTCGATTCCGGCCACAGGGGGAGCTGCTGCTTCACCGTCCACTTGTGACACCGGGTCCTTTGATGGAGTACTTCCTCATTCTTACTCACGCTGCTGGAAAGTTTTATGGCATCGTAAATTAGTTAATTTAGCCTCCCCGCATAAAGCGGTGCCTAAATTTCCTGCTCAACAGATGCAACTGTCTTTTGGGCTGCATAGGTCAACAGCAAGCTAGACTTGGGAGTTGTAGTTCCTGGGATTTACCGTTCACCTACAATCAAAGAGCTTTCCGAAGTCCACCAATGATGGAATTGAACCCAACATGGCACACAGAACTCCCATGCCTAGCAGAAAACACTATAAGGGTTTGGAGGGCATTGACCTTGAGTTTGGGAGTTGTAGTTCACCTATATCCAGAGGACACTGTGGACTCAAACAATGATGGATCTGGACCAAACTTGGTACAAATATTCCATATGCCCAAATATGAACACAGATGGAGTTTGGGGGAAATAGATCTTGACATTGGGAATTGTAGTTACTGGGATTTATAGTTCACCTACAATCAAAAGTATTCTGAACTCCACTAACGATGGAATTGAACGAAACTTGGTACACAGGAGTTCCAAGACCAACAGAAAACAGTGGAAGGATTTGGTGGGCAGTGACCTTGAGTTTCAGAGTTATAGTTTACCTACACCCAGAGTCGTCCTGTGGACTCAAACAATGATGGATCAGGACCAAATTTGGCACGAATACTCCATATGCCAGATGGAGTTTGGAGGAAATAGGCCTTGATATTTGGGAGCTGTAGTTACTGGGATTTACAGTTCATCTACAATCAAAGAGCATTCTGAACTCCACCAATGATGGAATTGAACCCAATGTGGCACACAGAACTCCCATGACCAGCGGAAAACACTAGAAGGGTTTGGTGGGCATTGACCTTGAGTTTGGAAGTTGTAGTTCACCTATATCCAGAGTCCTGTGGACTCAAACAAAGATGGATCTGGACCAAACTTGGCACGAATACCCCATATGCCCAAATATGAACACAGATGGCGTTTGGGGGAAATAGATCTTGACATTTGGGGGCTGTAGTTGCTGGGATTTATAGTTCACTTACAATCAAAGACCATTCTGAACTCCACCAACGATAAAATTTAACCAAAATCCACCCAGAACCCCCATGACCAACAGAAAATACTATGTTTTCTGATGGTTTTGGTGACCCCTCTTTATGACCGCAGGGGTCCCGATCCCCAGGTTGAGATATGCTGCCTTAAGGCCATTTGGGCATATGGGGTATTCGTGCCAAGTTTGGTCCAGATCCATCTTTGAGTCCACAGAAGGAGGCCCCCAACCCCCTTCATCAGGGCAAGAAAACAACCAAAGCCCTCCTGACAAAGAGCCATCCAACCATAGATAAAGATAGATAGATAGATAGATAGATAGATAGATAGATAGATAGATAGATATGATTCACACACACACACACACAGATATAATATCATAGATTTGAAAGGGACCCCTAAAGAAGGACAATGATATGTTGCATATTCCAGAGTAGGCAAAGCAGACACACTCCACATCAACACTGGCAAAGACACAACAAGTGATATTGGGCAAACTTGGGCCTTCCAGGTGTTTTGGACTTCAACTCCTTTAACTCCTGGGAGTTGAAGTCCAAAACACCTGGAAGGCCCAAGTTTGCCCATGCCTGACTTGGGGTAATCCCATGAATTTCGTAGCATTTGCATAGATGAGGAACACATATAAGGATGCATAGTCTTGCCACCTTCTTCCTCTAAAATATCACCTACAGCACCTGGGCTTGCTTGGATGTTTCCCATCCAGGTACTAACCAGGGCTGACCTTCTTAAAATGAGATCTGGGGACCTTAAGGGCATCATCCTTGATTGGAAAGGATTGCTAATTTGCCCTTAGATGTGGTTTTGCAATTATCCACAAGAGAGCAGCCAACCCTAAATATTAGTTTTTTTAAAAGCAACCCTTGAAAGTGGGTTGTTGTGTGTTTTCTGGACTATCTGGCCATGTTCGAGAAGCATTCTCTCCTGACATTTCGCCTGCATCTGTGGCAAGCATCCTCAGAGGTTGTGAGGTGTGTTGGAAACTAGGAAAATTGGATTTATATTGAATCATAGATTCATAGAGTTGGAAGAGACCTCGTGGGCCATCCAGTCCAACCCCATTCTGCCAAGAAGCAGGAATATTACATTCAAAGCACCCCTGACTTCAAAGCACCCATCCAGCCTCCAAAGAAGGAGCCCCCACCACACTCTGGGACAGAGAGTTCCACTGCTGAACAGCTCTCCCAGTCAGGATGTTCAGGTGGAATCTCCTCTCTTGTAGTTTGAAGCCATTGTTCCATTGCGTCCTAGTCTCCAAGGCAGCAGAAAACAAGCCAGCTCCCTTCCTCCCTATGATTTCCCCTCACATACATGGCCCTCATCATGTTTCCTCTCATCCTTCTCTTCTTCAGGCTAAACATGCCCAGCTCTTTAAGCCGCTCCTCATAGGGCTTGTTCTCCAGACCCTTGATCATTTTAGTCGCCCTCTTCTGGACACATTCCAGCTTGTCAATATCTCTCTTGAATTGTGGTGCCCAGAATTGGACACAATATTCCAGGTGTGGTCTAACCAAAGCGGAATAGAGCATGGGGAGCATGACTTCCCTAGATCTAGACACTATGCTCCTATTGATGCAGGCCAAAATCCCATTGGCTTTTTTTGCCGCCACATCACATTGTTGGCTCATGTTTAACTTGTTGTCCACGAGGACTCCAAGATCTTTTTCACACGTACTGCTCTCGAGCCAGGCCACATCGTCCCCCATTCTGTATCTTTGAATTTCCTTTTTTCTGCCTAAGTGGAGTATCCTGCATTTGTCCCTCTTGAACTTCATTGTGTTAGTTTTGGCCCATCATCTCTCTAACTGTTCAGATCATTTTGAATTCTGTTCCTGTGTTCTGGAGTATTGGCTCTCCCTCCCCATTTGGTCCCATCTGCAAATTTGATGATAATTTCTTCCAACCCTTCATCGAAGTCATGAATCAAGATCCTGAACAGGACACTTTTTCCGCAACCAGCATCTCACAGTTCACTCAACGTCTTCATTAGAAGCATAACGATGTCCCTGCAGATCTCCTTTCATTATCAGGAATAGATGGAAGTCAGGCAGTGCTAAATCTGGACCATATGGAGGATGTTGCACGGTGGTTAGATCCAGTCTCTGAAGTTTCAAGTCTGTGCGCTTTCATTTCAAGTTTCAGCATCCTGGGTACCCATCGTGCACAGATCTTCCGATAGCCAAGTAAAGCAATAATGTGACCCACACATTCTTGTGAAATGTTGATTATGCTTGAAATTTCTCTCTGAGTGATACAACGATTGTTCTGATTCAATCTGTCAACCTTTTGCTTGTGAAACGTGGTGGTTGCTGTCACAGGACGTCCAACTCCTTGTTTGTCACACAAGTCAGATGTTCCCACCTCAACATCTTTAAACTTACTCACCCAACGACGCACAGTACTCACATCTACACAATCACCACAAACAGCTTGCATTCTCTGATGAATCTCCTTTGGGGTGACACCTTCTGCTGTCAAGAATTCAATGACTGCACGTTGCTTAAGTCGCATTGACCGACCTTCTGCGCAGGGTTCCATACTTTGCACTTTAACAACACAATCGTTCAATGCTAAGGCTTCCCACCAAAATGGAACTGTAGAGGAGAGTCTACTGAACAAGCCAGTACCTGCCGCATACCAGTATGCCATCTGTTGTGGAGTTATGAAGGTGGAGGCATAACTTTTCATTACTTTTCATCCAACCCTCATACAGTATTTTGGCTCAGTCATTAATCAGAATTGAGACTTGACTCTATGCAGGCATGAGCAAACTTTGGCTCTCTAGGTGTTTTGGACTCCAACTCCCACAATTCCTAACAGCCTCAGACCCTTCCCTTTTCCCCTTCAGTCGCTTAAGCGGAAGGGGCCTGAGGCTGTTAGGAATTGTGGGAGTTGGAGTTCAAAACACCTGGAGGGGCAAAGTTTGCCCATGCTTGTTTCCTCTTCTGCTCTGCCAGTGTGTGTGTGTGTTTCAATACGCAACAGGTCTCTCCAAGGTGCTAGTTTTTAGCATTGTGTTTGAGAGACGAAAGTGGGACCCTTTCCATCCTCCTGGCAGGTGAGAGCTGTCAATCACAAGCTCCACAGGTGAATTGCCAACTGGGTGGGGCTTTGGGGTTGGTGGAGGTGCAGGAGTGGCTTGTGGCATGTTTTTGGGTTCTCCTCTATGAAGCCGCCTCTCTTGCCACCAGCCCAATCTTGCAGCAGCCGACGCTTGGAAATTGCTGCAGAGGAGGTGCCAGGCAGGGAAAACCGGCTTGCAAAAACCCTTGTCTTCATTCCCTGCCTGTGCCTAGGAGCCTGGGGCACCCCACTGCAACAAAAGGAAGGACCCTAAGACACTTCCCTCCCTTTTCCTTCTCCCCCTTTCCTCCCTTCATTGGTTCTGCAACCCCTCCTCTTCCTTTGCAGGTACCCCATCCTCCTAGCTGAAGAATTTGATGCAAGGTAAGCAAGACTTTATGTTTTTCCCCTTTATTAAAGGGGTACAGAAATGGGATTTTTCCCCTCTCTCTCCTATTTCTGCCCACTGTGAAAAGATATAGCACCGAAGATTGTGCCTTGCAGATAAGACACTTGATCTCCATTGGAAACAGGAGGAAAGAATACCTTTTCCTCTCCTCATCCTGTCCTTTTTGGAACTACAGGTGATGTAGAGAATCTGGATCTTCCACCTGTCCATAAACAGGAGACAGTCCTCTTGGGTTTTTGCTATTTCTTGAATTCATTGAGTCAGAGTAGACCCCAAAATCTTGGGGATGTATTAGAGGGAGAAAGGAGACCTCCGGATACATGAGTTTTGTCAATGCTTTAGTATCTATCTATCTATCTATCTATCTATCTATCTATCTATCTATCTATCTATCTCTATCTCTATCTCTATCTCTCTCTCTCTCTCTCTCTCTCTCTATCTCTCTCTCTCTCTCTCTCTCTCTCTCTCTCTATCTCTATCTCTCTATCTCTATCTCTATCTCTATCTCTATCTCTATCTCTTCTATCTCTATCTCTATCTCTATCTCTATCTATCTATCTATCTATCTATCTATCTATCTATCATCATGTTTTCATTCTTTCAAGGTACTGACAGTGGGTACACTGCAGAATGAATGCACTTTTATTGCTATGGGTCAATACTATAGGTCCCTGGGAGCTGTAGTTTTACAAGGTCCCAATCCTCTCTCCCAAAGAGGGCTGGTGCTTCACTGAAAAAAGAAAGGCTCTGTGTTCGTGAGGTTTTTCTACTATCCATTTATCATCATTGTTGTCATCTTGGCTTCATCATTTCAAGGTATTGAAAGGATGGGTGCATCTATACCAGGTATAAGCAAATCCAGGGCCGTGGGCCAGATGCAGCCCTTGGGCTCTTTTCTCAGGCCCTCCTCTCTCACACCTCCTATCCTTCCTTCCTTCTCTCTTTCCTTCCTTCCTCCTTCCTTCCTTCCTTCCCTCTCTCCCTTCCTTCTCCCTTTCCTCCCTTTTGTCTCTCCTTCCTTCTCTCTTTTCTCCCTCCCTCCATTCCCTTCCACCCTTCCATCCTTCTCTTCCTTCCTTACCTCCCTCTTTCTCCCTCCCTTCTTCCATTCCACCCTTTTGTCCTTCCCTCCTTCTCTCTTTCCTCCCTCCTTCCCTCTCTCCTTTTTCCTTTCTTTCATTCCATTCTGTCTTTCCTTCCTTCTCTCTTTCCTCCCTCCTTCCCGCTCTCCCTTTCTCCTTCCTTCCCTCCCTTTTGTCTCTCCTTCCTTCTCTCTTTTCTCCCTCTGTCCATTCCCTTCCACTCTTCTCTTCCTTCCTTCCTTCCTTCCTTCCTTCCTTCCTTCCTTCCTTCCTTCCTTCCTTCCTTCCCTCCCTCCCTCCCTCCCTCCCCTTCCTCTTTCCCCCTTCCCTTCTTCCTTCCCCTTCTCTTTCCTCCTTCCCTCTCTCCTTTTCCTCCTTCCTTCCTTCCCTCCCTTTTCCTTTCCTCCCTCTCTCTGTCTTTCTTTCTTTCTTTCTTTCTATTCTCCTTTCCTCCCTCCCTCTTTCTTTCTTTCTTTCTTTCTTTCCATCCTCCTTCCCTTCCTTCCTTCCTTCCTTCCTTCCTTCCTTCCTTCCTTCCTTCCTTCCTTCCTTCCTTCCTTCCCTTTCTTTCTTTTGTCTCTCCTTTCTTCTCTCTTTTCTCCCTCCCTCCATTCCCTTCCACTCTTCTCTTCCTTCCTTCCCTCCCTCCCTCCTTCCTTCCCTCTTTCTCCCTCCCTCCTTCCATTCCCCTTCTCCTTCCTCTTTCTTCCCTCCTTCCCTCTCTCCCCTTTTTCCTTCCTTCCTCCCTCCTTTCTTCCTTTCCTTTCCTTTTGTCTTTCCTTCCTTCTCCCTTTCCTCCCTCCATTCCCTTTCACCCTTCCATCCTTCTCTTCCTCCCTTCCTCCCTTCTCTTTCCTTTCTTTCATCTCTTCCTTCTCCCTCCCTCTTTCCTTCCACCCTTCCACCCTTCCTTCTCTTTCCTCCCTCCTCCTTTCTCTCTTTCTTCTTCCTTCCCTTTTTGTTTTCCTTCCTTCTCTTTCCTCTCTTGCATCCTTCTCTTTCTCCCTTCTTTCTCTTTCCTCCCTTCCTTCTCCCTCATTCCCTACTTCCCTTACACCCTTTCATCTTTCCTTCTCTCTTCCTCCCTCCTTCCTCTCTCTCCTCCTTCCTTCCTCCCTTTTTCTTTTCCTTTTTCCTCTTTCCTCCTTCCCCCCTTCTTCCTCCTTCTCTTCCTCCCTTCCCTCCCTCTTTCCCTCCCTCCTTCCCTTGCATCCTTTCCTCCTTCCTTCTCTCTTTCCTCCCACCTTCCCTCCCTTCCTTTCTCCTTCCTTTCCTCCCTTTTGTCTCTATTTCCGTCTCTCTTTTCTCCCTCCCTCCATTCCCTTCCACCCTTCCCTTCCTTCCCTCCCTCTTTCCCCTTCCCTTCTTCCATTACACCCTTCCTTCCTTCCTTCCTTCCTTCCCATTTGTCTTTCCTTCCTTCTCTCTTTGCTCCCTCCCTCCATTTCCTTCCTTCCTTCCTTCTTCCTTCCTTCCTTCCTTCCTTCCTTCCTTCCTTCCTTCCTTCCTTCCTTCCTTCCACCCTTCCTCCCTTCTATTTTTCCTTCCTCCTTTCCTCCTGGGGGATGTTTAGCTGGGAGAAGAGTAGGAAGAGAGGGAACATGAGAACCAAGACTTTAAAGGGTGACCCATTGGGAAAAGTGACTTTCGGCTACTCTAGAGACCAGGGTACAAGGGTCCAATGGTTTCAAATGGCAGAGAAAAAGAGATTAAACTGAAAAGATTAGGAAGAACTTCCCGACAGTAAGAGTTGTTGGAGTGTGGCCTAGGCTTCCTCAGAGTGTGGTGGAGTCTCCTTTTCTGGAGTGTTTTCTGCAGAGCCTGTCTATCGGAAGTGCTTTGATGGCACCTACCTGAATGGCAGGGGGTTGGACTGGATGGCCCTTGGGGGTCTCTTCCAGCTCTAGGATTCTATATCAGGAGTAGGCAACACGGGGTCTCATGGAGACACTTTTGCTCTCCCATTCACCATCTCATCCTCACCAAGACCAACCCTTTTGGGATCTAAACCTTTCCCAACGGTTACGCTTTGCAGCTTTACAGCTTTGCAGTCCTACAATTTGGAAAGCAGGAAAGTTTGCAGAGCTGTCCAAGCAAAACCATGCTGCCTTGCATCCCTTCCAATCCTAGGACATAGATGCCTTTCTTCCAAATGCATAGAGCATCCTTTGAGAGACCCTCTGCTGCCGGCCCTGTCACGTTCTGCAGCAAAACGTGCTGAAAGGGAGAAGGGGAGGGGGCTCTTCTCTCTGCCGCAGGCACCAATGTTCCCCCTTCAGCTTTGACATACAATGGCAGCTGCACTCCTAGAAAGGGGGAGACCCTTTCCCCAGTTTCCTGATCGAATCCTAGAGTGAGAAGGGACCTCGGGGGCCCATTCAGCCCAACTTAATTCTGCCACACAGACAATCTACCTATCCATGCTAGTAAGCATGGATAGGTACTGTCAAAATCTTCATAATCCGGGAAAATTACCTTTTTGAAGCGATTTTGAAGTTTTTAACAAAACCGGAAGTCCCTTTGCCCTTCCGAAGCTTTTTCTGCCATTTTTGTTACGACTCATGAAGTGAGATGGAAATGATTCAGCTTTTCCTCGCTTCTGGTCCCCCGGCCTCGGCTCAAGCCAGAGAAGCCAGTTTTAAAGCCAGAGAAGCCAATCTTAAACCAGAGAAGGAAGGAATGTCCTTCGCTTTCTTTTCCCTGCTGCTGGTCCCTGGTCTCGGCTCAAGCCAGAGAAGCCAGTTTTAAACCATAAAAGGAAGGAATTTCCTAGCCTCGGCTCAAGCCAGAGAAGCCAATTTTAAAGCCAGAGAAGCCAGACTTAAACCAGAGAAGGAAGGAATTTCCTCCGCTTGCTTTTCCCCGCTGCTGCTCCCTGGTCTCGGCTCAAGCCAGAGAAGCCAGTTTTAAACCAGAGAAGGAAGGAATTTCCTAGCCTCGGCTCAAGCCAGAGAAGCCAGTTTTAAAGCCAGAGAAGCCAACCTTAAACCAGAGAAGAACGGAATTTCCTCCGCTTGCTTTTCCCTACTGCTGCTCCCTGGTCTCGGCTCAAGCCAGAGAAGCCACTTTTAAACCAGAGAAGGAAGGAATTTCCTCCGCTTGCTTTTCCCCACTGCTGCTCCCTGGTCTCGGCTCAAGCCAGAGAAGCCAGTTTTAAACCAGAGAAGGAAGGAATTTCCTAGCCTCGGCTCAAGCCAGAGAAGCCAGTTTTAAAGCCAGAGAAGCCAATCTTAAACCAGAGAAGAACGGAATTTCCTCCGCTTGCTTTTCCCTACTGCTGCTCCCTGGTCTCGGCTCGAGCCAGAGAAGCCACTTTTAAACCAGAGAAGGAAGGAATTTCCTAGCTACGGCTCAAGCCAGAGAAGCCATTTTAAACCAGAAAAGGAAGGAATATCCTAGCCTCGGCTCAAGCCAGAGAAGCCATTTTAAAGATAGAGAATCCAATCTTAAACCAGAGAAGGAAGGAATTTCCTCCGCTTGCTTTTCCACACTACTGGTCCCTGGTCTCGGCTCAAGCCAGAAAAGCCAGTTTTAAACCAGAGAAGGAAGGAATTTCCTAGCCTCGGCTCAAGCCAGAGAAGCCTTTTTAAACCAGAAAAGGAAGGAATATCCTAGCCTCGGCTCAAGCCAGAGAAGCCATTTTAAAGATAGAGAATCCAATCTTAAACCAGAGAAGGAAGGAATTTCCTCCGCTTGCTTTTCCACACTACTGGTCCCTGGTCTCGGCTCAAGCCAGAAAAGCCAGTTTTAAACCAGAAAAGGAAGGAATATCTTAGCCTCGGCTCAAGCCAGAGAAGCCAGTTTTAAAGCCAGAGAAGCCAGCCTTAAACCAGAGAAGGAAGGAATTTCCTCCGCATGGTTTTCCCCACTGCTGGTCCCTGGTCTCGGCTCAAGCCGGAGAAGCCAGTTTTAAACCAGAAAAGGAAGGGATTTCCTGTGCTTGCTTTTCCCCACTGCTGGTCCCTGGTCTCGGCTCAAGCCAGAGAAGCCAGTTTTAAACCAGAGAAGGAAGGAATTTCCTAGCCTTGGCTCAAGCCAGAGAAGCCAGTTTTAAAGCCAGAGAAGCCAATCTTAAACCAGAGAAGGAAGGAATTTCCTGGCCTTGGCTCAAGCCAGAGAAGCCAGTTTTAAAGCCAGAGAAGCCAATCTTAAACCAGAGAAGGAAGGAATTTCCTCCGCTTGCTTTCCCCCACTGCTGCTCCCTGGTCTCGGCTCAAGCCAGAGGGGCCAGTTTTAAACCAGAGAAGGAAGGAATTTCCTAGCCTCGGCTCAAGCCAGAGAAGCCATTTTAAACCAGAAAAGGAAGGAATATCCCAGCCTCGGCTCAAGCCAGAGAAGCCAGTTTTAAAGCTAGAGAATCCAATCTTAAACCAGAGAAGGAAGGAATTTCCTCCGCTTGCTTTTCTCAGCTGCTGGTCCCTGGTCTCGGCTCAAGCCAGAGAAGCCAGTTTTAAACCAGAAAAGGAAGGAATATCCTAGCCTAGACTCAAGCCAGAGAAGCCAGTTTTAAAGCCAGAGAAGCCAGCCTTAAACCAGAGAAGGAAGGAATTTCCTCCGCGTGGTTTTCCCCACTGCTGGTCCCTGGTCTCGGCTCAAGCCAGAGAAGCCAGTTTTAAACCAGAAAAGGAAGGGATTTCCTGTGCTTGCTTTTCCCCACTGCTGGTCCCTGGTCTCGGCTCAAGCCAGAGAAGCCAGTTTTAAACCAGAGAAGGAAGGAATTTCCTAGCCTTGGCTCAAGCCAGAGAAGCCAGTTTTAAAGCCAGAGAAGCCAATCTTAAACCAGAGAAGGAAGGAATTTCCTAGTCTTGGCTCAAGCCAGAGAAGCCAGTTTTAAAGCCAGAGAAGTCAATCTTAAACCAGAGAAGGAAGGAATTTCCTGGCCTTGGCTCAAGCCAGAGAAGCCAGTTTTAAAGCCAGAGAAGCCAATCTTAAACCAGAGAAGGAAGGAATTTCCTCCGCTTGCTTTCCCCCACTGCTGCTCCCTGGTCTCGGCTCAAGCCAGAGGGGCCAGTTTTAAACCAGAGAAGGAAGGAATTTCCTAGCCTCGGCTCAAGCCAGAGAAGCCATTTTAAACCAGAAAAGGAAGGAATATCCCAGCCTCGGCTCAAGCCAGAGAAGCCAGTTTTAAAGCTAGAGAAGCCAGTCTTAAACCAGAGAAGGAAGGAATTTCCTAGCCTTGGCTCAAGCCAGAGAAGCCAGTTTTAAAGCCAGAGAATCCAATCTTAAACCAGAGAAGGAAGGAATTTCCTCCGCTTGCTTTCCCCCACTGCTGCTCCCTCGTCTTGGCTCAAGCCAGAGGGGCCAGTTTTAAACCAGAAAAGGAAGGAATATCCCAGCCTCGGCTCAAGCCAGAGAAGCCAGTTTTAAAGCTAGAGAATCCAATTCTAAACCAGAGAAGGAAGGAATTTCCTCCGCTTGCTTTTCCCTACTGCTGCTCCCTGGTCTCGGCTCAAGCCAGAGAAGCCAGTTTTAAACCAGAGAAGGAAGGAATTTCCTAGCCTCGGCTCAAGCCAGAGAAGCCATTTTAAACCAGAAAAGGAAGGAATATCCTAGCCTCGGCTCAAGCCAGAGAAGCCAGTTTTAAAGATAGAGAATCCAATCTTAAACCAGAGAAGGAAGGAATTTCCTCCGCTTGCTTTTCCACACTACTGGTCCCTGGTCTCAGCTCAAGCCAGAGAAGCCAGTTTTAAACCAGAAAAGGAAGGAATATCTTAGCCTCGGCTCAAGCCAGAGAAGCCAGTTTTAAAGCCAGAGAAGCCAGCCTTAAACCAGAGAAGGAAGGAATTTCCTCCGCGTGGTTTTCCCCACTGCTGGTTGCTGGTCTCGGCTCAAGCCGGAGAAGCCAGTTTTAAACCAGAAAAGGAAGGGATTTCCTGTGCTTGCTTTTCTCCACTGCTGGTCCCTGGTCTCGGCTCAAGCCAGAGAAGCCAGTTTTAAACCAGAGAAGGAAGGAATTTCCTAGCCTTGGCTCAAGCCAGAGAAGCCAGTTTTAAAGCCAGAGAAGCCAATCTTAAACCAGAGAAGGAAGGAATTTCCTAGCCTTGGCTCAAGCCAGAGAAGCCAGTTTTAAAGCCAGAGAAGCCAATCTTAAACCAGAGAAGGAAGGAATTTCCTCCCCTTGCTTTCCCCCACTGCTGCTCCCTGGTCTCGGCTCAAGCCAGAGGGGCCAGTTTTAAACCAGAGAAGGAAGGAATTTCATAGCCTTGGCTCAAGCCAGAGAAGCCATTTTAAACCAGAAAAGGAAGGAATATCCCAGCCTCGGCTCAAGCCAGAGAAGCCAGTTTTAAAGCTAGAGAAGCCAGTCTTAAACCAGAGAAGGAAGGAATTTCCTAGCCTTGGCTCAAGCCAGAGAAGCCAGTTTTAAAGCCAGAGAATCCAATCTTAAACCAGAGAAGGAAGGAATTTCCTCCGCTTGCTTTCCCCCACTGCTGCTCCCTCGTCTTGGCTCAAGCCAGAGGGGTCAGTTTTAAACCAGAAAAGGAAGGAATATCCCAGCCTCGGCTCAAGCCAGAGAAGCCAGTTTTAAAGCTAGAGAATCCAATTCTAAACCAGAGAAGGAAGGAATTTCCTCCGCTTGCTTTTCCACACTACTGGTCCCTGGTCTCGGCTCAAGCCAGAGAAGCCAGTTTTAAACCAGAAAAGGAGGGAATATCCTAGCCTCGACTCAAGCCAGAGTAGCCAGTTTTAAAGCCAGAGAAGCCAGCCTTAAACCAGAGAAGGAAGGAATTTCCTCCGCGTGGTTTTCCCCACTGCTGGTCCCTGGTCTCGGCTCAAGCCAGAGAAGCCAGTTTTAAACCAGAAAAGGAAGGGATTTCCTGTGCTTGCTTTTCCCCACTGCTGGTCCCTGGTCTCGGCTCAAGCCAGAGAAGCCAGTTTTAAACCAGAGAAGGAAGGAATTTCCTAGCCTTGGCTCAAGCCAGAGAAGCCAGTTTTAAAGCCAGAGAAGCCAACCTTAAACCAGAGAAGGAAGGAATTTCCTCCGCTTGCTTTCCCCCACTGCTGCTCCCTGGTCTCGGCTCAAGCCAGAGGGGCCAGTTTTAAACCAGAGAAGGAAGGAATTTCCTAGCCTCGGCTCAAGCCAGAGAAGCCATTTTAAACCAGAAAAGGAAGGAATATCCCAGCCTCGGCTCAAGCCAGAGAAGCCAGTTTTAAAGCTAGAGAATCCAGTCTTAAACCAGAGAAGGAAGGAATTTCCTCCGCTTGCTTTTCTCAGCTGCTGGTCCCTGGTCTCGGCTTAAGCCAGATAAGCCAGTTTTAAACCAGAGAAGGAAGGAATATCCTAGCCTCGGCTCAAGCCAGAGAAGCCAGTTTTAAACCAGAAAAGGAAGGAATATCCTAGCCTCGGCTCAAGCCAGAGAAGCCAGTTTTAAAGATAGAGAATCCAATCTTAAACCAGAGAAGGAAGGAATTTCCTCCGCTTGCTTTTCCACACTACTGGTCCCTGGTCTCGGCTCAAGCCAGAGAAGCCAGTTTTAAAGCAGAAAAGGAAGGAATTTCCTAGCCTCGGCTCATGCCAGAGAAGCCAGTTTTAAAGCCAGAGAAGCCAGCCTTAAACCAGAGAAGGAAGGAATTTCCTCCGCTTGCTTTTCCCCACTGCTGGTCCCTGGTCTCGGCTCAAGCCAGAGAAGCCAGTTTTAAAGCAGAAAAGGAAGGAATTTCCTAGCCTCGGCTCATGCCAGAGAAGGCAGTTTTAAAGCCAGAGAAGACAGTTTTAAACCAGAGAAGGAAGGAATTTCCTCTGCGTGCTTTTCCCCGCTGCTGGCCCCTGGTCTCGACTCAAGCCAGAGAAGGCAGTTTTAAACCAGAAAAGGAAGGAATATCCTAGCCTCGGCTCAAGCCAGAGAAGCCAGTTTTAAAGCTAGAGAAGCCAATCTTAAACCAGAGAAGTAAGGAGGCTCCTTCTTTGGAAGCGTTTAAACAGAGGCTGGATGGCCATCTGTCAGGGGTGATTTGAATGCAATATTCCTGCTTCTTGGCAGGGGGTTGGACTGGATGGCCCATGAGGTCTCTTCCAACTCTTTGATTCTATGATTCTATGAATTTCCTCCGCTTGCTTTTCCCCGCTGCTGGTTCAACAGGCACTACCAGGCCATAGATGTATCCTCCGTGGGAAGGTCTCTGCTGTAATATCTTGACTAGCCACATGCTCTGAGCATGTTCCACCTTGTCTGACCTGGAGGGCTGACTACGTATTCCTCTGCCGAGCTTGTTCAGTAACTCTTCTCATTCATATGTATGATGGCAAGCTAATTAGTCCGATACTGAACCAAGGCATCCTGTCTGTGTTTCAGGATATTTCTGCCCTCCCAGAAGACATGGCAGAGGCAGCAGCCGGTTTTGGGAAGGTGGTTCTTTTCCGCCAAGGAGCGCCCAGAGGACTCACCTACCGCATCCCAGCCTTGCTGTACCTGCCGTCCGAATCTGCTTTCCTGGCCTTTGCGGAAGAGCGCTCCTCACCCAAAGACGAAGATGCCCGGTTCCTGGTGATGCGGCGAGGGCAAAAGCAAGGGACATCTGTCCACGTAACCTCAGGGAAAGGAAGGGGCGAGGGCTATTCTTCCTTTTTGCATTGTTTCGTTATGTTTCATTATGTTTCATTATGTTTCATTGCTGACCGAAATGTGAGTAGATAAATAGGTACTGCTTCGGTGGGAAGGGACCACCACTCCATGCAATCATGCTGGGCATATGACCAAGGAGGTGTCTTCGGACAACACCAGCTCTTCAGCTTAGTTGTATCCAACTACTGAGCTGCTGAACTTGCTGACCGAAAGGTTGGTGGTTCAAATCCGGGGAGTGTTGAGCTCCCGCTGTTAGCTCCAGTTTCTACCAACTTAGCAATTCAAAAACAAGCAAACATGAGTAGATCGATAGGTACTTCTTTGGTAGGAAGGTAACACCACTCCATGCAATCATGCTGGCCATATGACCTAGGAGGTGTCTACGGACAACACCGGTTCTTCGGCTTAGTTGTGTCCATCCACTGAGCTGCTGAACTTGCTGACCGAAAGTCAGCGATTTGAATCTGGGGAGTGGGGTGAGCTCCCGCTGAGCTGCTGAACTTGCTGACTGAAAGGTTGGCGGTTCAAATCCAGGGAGCAGTGTGAGCTCCCACTGTTAGTCCCAGCTTCTGCCTATCTAGCTGTTCGAAAACATGTAAATGTGAGTAGATCAATAGGTACTGCTTCGGTGGGAAGGTAACACCGCTCCATGCAATCATGCTGGCTATATGACCTAGGAGGTGTCTACGGACAACACCGGCTTTTCGGCTTAGTTGTGCCTGACCACTGAGCTGCTGAACTTGCTGACCAAAAGGTTGGCGGTTCAAATCCGGGGAGCGGTGTGAGCTCCCACTGTTAGCCCCAGCTTCTGCCTATCTAGCAGTTCGAAAACATGTAAATGTGAGTAGATAAATAGGTACTGCTCCGGCGGGAAGGTAACGGCACTCCATGGAGTCATGCTGGCCACATGACCTTGGAGGTGTCTATGGACAACACCGGCTCTTCGGCTTAGAAATGGAGATGAGCACCTGTGGAAAAGTGTAGGAATATTTGGTGCGAGTGCAGCGTCGCCAGGTTCCATAACATGCCATTGGCCTCCCATGATGATTAAGAGTATAATTTCATAATGGAAATAGATTCAGAGTCCTTGAATTAGTTTTGGTCTCGCTCTGCTTTGCCAATGAATTGCAGCCAAATAGCCCAGAGCAATTCTAGTCACCTCACTCTCTTCGTTGCACAAGATGTACCTGTTTTGAACCACATAATATCTTGAAACACCGGTCTAGGCTTTCAAAACCTTCTGGTTTGATTACTGTAATGTGTTGTAAATAATAATAATAATAATTTTAATAATAATAATAATACTTTATTTATAACCTGCCCTATCTCTCAGAGGGAGATGTCAAACCTTCAATGCCAAAAGCAACAAATAACAAAACGAACCTCTGAGGATGCTTGCCACAGATGCAGGCGAAACATCAGGAGAGAATGCTTCTAGAACATGGCCATATAACCCAAAAAAACCTACAACAACCCAGTGATTCCGGCCATGAAAACCTTAGACAATACAATAACAAATCAAACTAGTGGGCATAACTATTTCTAAAAGTAATAATAATAGAGTAAAATAATGGAAATGCAATAATAACAGTAATAATAGAGTAAAATAATAAATGTAAAATTAATAATAGAGTAAAATAATAAAAGTAATAATAATAAAGTAAAATAATAAATGTAAGATTAATAATAGAGAAAAATAATATATGTAATAATAAATAGAGTAAAATAAATGTGATATTAAATAAAAAATAATAAATGTAATAATAATAATAAATAGAGTAAAATAATAAATATAATAGAGAAAGTAATAAATGTAATAATAACAATAATAAATATAAGAGAAAGATAATAAATGTAAAATTAATAATAGAGTAAAATAATAAATGTAAAATTAATAATAGAGTAAAATAATAAATGCAAAATTAATAATAGAGTAAAATAATAAATAGAGTAATAATAATAAATAGAGTAATATAATAAAGGTAATAATAATAATACATGGAGTAAAATAATAAATGTAATAATAATAATAATAATAATAATAATAATAATAATAGTAATAGGTTGTTGTTGGTTTTTTCGGGCTATATGGCCATGGTCTAGAGGCATTCTCTCCTGACATTTCACCTGAATCTAATACAAGCATTCTCAGAGGTAGTGAAGTCTGTTGGAACTAGGGAAAAGGGTTTATATATCTGTGGAATGACCCTTTTTCCTATATATATATATATATATATATATATATATATATATATATATACACACCCTTTTTCCTAGTTCCAACAGACCTTACTACCTCTGAGGATGCTTGCCATAGATGCAGGCGAAACGTCAGGAGAGAATGCCTCTAGAACATGGCCATATAGCCTGAAAAAACCTACAACAACCCAGTGATTCCAGCCATGAAAGCCTTCGACAATACATAATAATAATAATAATAATAATAATAATAATAATAATAATAATAATAATAGAGTAAAATAATAAATGTAATAGAGAAAGTAATAAATGTAATAATAACAATAACAAATAGAGTAAAATAATAAATGTAATAATAATAAAGGTAAAAATATAAATGCAATACAAATAATTATAGAGTAAAATAATGTAAATGTAATAATAATAATAATAATTAATAGAGTATAATAATGTATGTAATAAATATAATAATAACAGAGTAAAATAATAAATAACCTTAACTCGAGTATAATCCAAGGGGGACTTTTTCAGCCTAAAAAAGGGTTGAAAATTTTGCCTTATACTTAAGTATATATGGTATATGGGACTGCCCTCTGAAGTTTAATCTAATGCACCGTGCTGGTGTAGTTGCACCACTACAAGTCGCATACTACAATATTGGAGTTACTCAGCACATGGCTGGGTTTTATAAAATGAGTTTATGGTATTTATCTTATCTTAAGCTTGAGGGCAAATTAACATTTTGTAAACCACTCTGAGTACCTTTGTGGCTAAAAATTCCCTAAATAATAAAAATAATGTATAGTAGGAAACAGGGGGCAAAATAATTCACAGGTTGCCTTGATAAGTTTTCAAACAGTCAAAACTTACTTTTATTGTTAACGTCTCAGATAAAAGAGTAAATAGACAAAAGAAAGTTGCTTAAGTTGCAAAAGAAAGTTGGTCTTGTTCTATTGTAAATTGTTGTCTTTTCTATGTTCTGTACACCGCCACGAGTCGCCCCTGGGCTGAGAGTGGCGGTTAACAAGTGCAAATAATAAATAAATAAATAAATAAATAACTTTGGCGTGAGTCCCAAATGCTGACTCTCATACCTATGTGTAAGGCAGGCATGGGCAAACTTCGGCCCTCCCTCCAGGTGTTTTGGACTACAACTCCCACAATTCCTAACAGCCGGTAGGCTGTTAGGAATTGTGGGAGTTGGAGTCCAAAACAAGTTCATTGCTGTGGAATGACTATATTATATTATAGGTCTCATATGTGGATTTGGTAACAAAACCAGTCTCTGATTCATAAAGTCTAGTATCTAATGATGCAATGTCTGGGAAATATTATGTACAGTTTTAGATACACCCACTTATCCAATTATTATGATCTCTCTGCCCTGAAGATGTACTGTATTTGGAAACTAGAATCAGGTCGATGAGGTTGAGACGTTGATACTGAAGTCAGATAAGTTACAGTAATGGTAGAAAGTTTCATAACATATTGGAAGCCTAGGGTTTCCTATGACGATCACAGGAGCTTTCCAAATTGGAGAGTTGACTTTCATCTGGTGGCAAAAACAATGCTAGTCGCCTTTTGCTGTTGCAAAAGAACGGTCTCTTCTGGTGAAATGGCAGGGAGAAGGTTTGAGGAAAAGAGACAAAGAGAGTTCCTGAGGTCTGAAAAGGCACGGTTTATTCTCGGTTGGCACCAACCGGATATGGACCCTGCTGGTAGTCCAGGAAAACAGGGTACTGAACAAAGAAAAGCCTTGGTTTATATACCCTTTAAAATAATATGCATGCATCACACAGGCATCACAATGTGCGTCACAAAATTCTACTTTTACATTGACTTCAATGGCATATTTTAACTTCGACACCTCTCAATCTTCATTTAAGCATCTTTATCTAAGGAGCTGCTATTAATGAGGACCATGCGCCACAGTGTCTACTAGGCTACTGATAGCAAGAGCTTCCATCCATCTTGAGATAAGTTCTTCCTGAAGCCTCTTCATGGCCAGCTCATTAATCTTACAATAAGCTTCGCCTGGTACCAAAATGGAAAGAGTCTCTTGAAATTTGCCAGAGGCCTCTTGACATTCCTTTCCTAGACCCTGGCCTCTCTTGAGACATCTAATTTTGCAGCTTTTTAAGACGAAAATATCTTCCAAGTGAAGTTCATGTATACATACACTTCTCTTTGTGATTTCATATATTTTCTAACTCCTATTTCTAATATGGTTACATCCAATATATATTTTCCAATATGTGTATTGTGTATTTCCATCTTGCCTTCATCACTGGTACCACAGAATATCTTGAAATGCTGGTCTAAGCTTTCAAAACCTTTCGGCTTGACTATTGTAATGCCCTTGGAAGCTTAATGTAATGCTGGTGTAGTTGTTCCACTACAAGGACAGCCTACAATATTGGGCGCCTTTTAATTTAACAAAAAAGGCATCTTAATCCTAGAATCTTAGAGTTGGAAGAGACCTCATGGGCCATCCAGTCCAACCCCATTCTGCCAAGAGGCAGGAAAATTGCATTCAAAGCACCCCTGACAGATGGCCATCCAGCCTCTGTTTAAAAGCCTCCAAAGGAGGCGCCTCCACCACATTCCGGGGCAGAGAGTTCCACTGCCGAACAGTTCTCACAGTTAGGAAGTTCTTCCTCATGTTCAGCTGGAATCTCCTTTCTTGTAGTTTGAAGCCATTGCTCCATTGTGTCCTAGTCTCCAGGGAAGCAGAAAAGAAGCTTGCTCCCTCCTCCCTGTGACTTCCTCTCTGTTGGGTTTTATCCCATAATCAGCAGCAGAGTAGCAAAGCTCAAGGGCAGATGTCTTCACTGTGTCTGGTTGTGATCCCCAGGTTGTGCCAGTCAGCTTTCATATGATATTTTTTCTAGCGCCCACTTTTTGGTTGATACTCAGACAGTGATTCTTGTAGGTCAGAGCATGGTCCAGAGTGACTCCCACGTATTTGGGTGTGCTGCAATGCTCCAGTGGGATTCTTTTCCAAGTAATAATCCTCAGAGCTCAGGATGCTTGTCTGTTCTTAAGGTGAAAAGCACACGTCTGTGTTTCAGATGGATTAGGGATCAGCTGGTTTTCCCTGTAATAGGCAGTAAGAGCACCTAGAGCTTCGGAGAGCTTCTGGTCAACCATCTCAAAGCTCCCTGCTTGAGTGGTGATGGCATGATTGTCAGCAGAGATGAAACTCTCTGTCTCTAACTCTAATGAATGTCATGCAGAATAAATCTATGTCTACCAAAAGACAAAGCTACTGGTTAACCGTGCAACCCTTTTTTTCTTCTAGTGGGGTCCGCAGGAATCTCTGATGACGGCCACGTTGCCGGGCCACCGCACCATGAACCCTTGCCCGCTGTACGAGAGGAACAGCCGCACCGTTTTCCTCTTCTTTATCTGTGTCCAAACTGAAGTGACGGAGCAGCAGCAGCTCAGAAGAGGGAAGAACGCCGCCCGGCTGTGTTACGTCTCGAGCCGAGATGGTGGCCGGACCTGGAGCCACACCACCGACCTGACCGAAAAGGCCATTACGGATAACTTGAGGAGATGGGCCACTTTTGCTGTTGGGCCGGGTCACGGCCTCCAGTTGAGCTCGGGCCGATTGGTGGTCCCGGCTTACGCCTACTACATCCACCGGCGTTGCTTTGGGCACCCGCTCACTGTCTGGACGAAACCCCATTCCTTCATGTTCTATAGTGATGATGGTGGGAAGAACTGGTCCCAGGGCCGGCTCCTCAGGGCCTTGCGGACATCCGAATGCCAGGTCGCTGAATTGACCGGCCAGGATAATAGTCCAATGTTATATTGTAATGCCCGGAGTCCTGACAGGTACCGGGCAGAGGCCTTCAGTGCAGATCACGGAGAATTCTTTGACGAATCCTTTCTCTCTGAGGAGTTGTGTGAACCTCCCAATGGATGCCAGGGCAGCGTCATGAGCTTTTCACCCATGGTGGAGCTAGGCACCCATTCCTCCTCAGCCTCCTATGAGAGCACAAAGCAATGGCTGATCTTCTCCCACCCCACAAACAAGCACCGTCGCCTGGACCTGGGCATCTACTTGAACATGTCTCCCTTGGAGAAAGAATCCTGGAAAGGCCCGTGGGTGCTGAACAAAGGGCCCAGTGGCTATTCGGACCTGGCCGTGTGCAAGGAAAGGAAGTCTCTGCTCTTTGGTTGCTTGTTTGAGTGTGGGGCAGCCCATTCCTATGAAGAAATTGCTTTCAAGCTCTTCACCGATGCCGAGCTTTTGAGGGAAGGGCCATTCTGAGCTGAGTCTCCCTCAGAGTTGCAAGTCATCATATCATCATCATCATTAACATTATCATCTTCATCATCACCATTCTTGTGGTCAAGTATGGTTGTCCTCCAAGGGCAGAGAGAAGGGGCCCCCAAATTGAACACTAAGATATTTCAAAGGCTCGTAGAGTGGGTAGAGATCCCAAGGACCATCCAGTCCAATCCCATTGTGCCAAGCAGCAAAGCACAATTGAAGCACTCCTTAGCACAGACCCAGGGGCCAGATGCCGCCCCTTAGGCTCTTTTCTCAGGCTCTCCTCTCTCTCACCATCCTATCCTTCCTTCCTTCCTTCACTTTTTCCTTCCTTCCCTCCCTTCCCTCCTTCCTTCCCTTCCACCCTTTTGTCCTTCCTTTCTTCCCTATTTCCTCCCTCCTTCCCTCTCTCCCTCTTTCTCCTTCCTTCCTCCCTTCCCTTTCTTTTCCCTCCCCTCCCCTCCCCTTTTGTCTTTTCTTCCTTCCCTCTTTCCTCCCTCCCTCCATTTCCTTCCACCCTTTCATCCCTCCTTCCTTCTTTTTCCTTCCTCCCTTCCATCCTTCTCTTCCTCCCTTTCTTCCTCCCAATGAAGTCGATAGGAACTTTAGGAGGGTCAACTCCAAGGGGAGAGGACCCTTAGTTCCCACCAAAGAGGTTGAAAGGGGGAAGGAAGGAAGGAAGGAAGGAAGGAAGGAAGGAAGGAAGGACAAAAGGGTGGAAGGGAAGGATGGAAGGAGAAAGAGGGAAGTAAGGAAGGGAGAAAGGTAAGAAGGAAAGAGAGAAGGAAGGAAAGACAAAAGGGAAGGACGGAAGGACGAATGGGTGGAAGGGAAGGATAGGAGGAAGGAAGGGAAGGAGGAATAAAAAGAGACGGTCCGAGAAAGCCTGCTTGGAAATTTGCTCTATAATTTATCTGGACCTCCAAGCCGGGTCCCTTCATGGTCGCCAAATGAAGTCCAAGGGGAGAGGACCCTTAGTTCCCACCAAAGAGGGAACACTACCTTGGCAAGCCTTCAGAATAGCCTGATTCCAGCAATTTTATTAATATTAAAAATTGAAATGAGACTTTGGGACTACATCAACAGAATTTTCCTATAGAAATGCCTCTGATCTCTGTACTGGTATGCCTTGCATGTGAGCTATCACTGCATTGCATCTGATCCAGCTGAATCGCTCATTAAACCTCGATGCCTCTTCTTCGCTTTGGCAAGAGTCTCATTTCAATTTTTAATATTAATAAAATTGCTGGAATCAGGCTTCTCTGAAGGCTTGCCAAGGTAGCGTTCCCTCTTTGGTGGGAACTAAGGGTCCTCTCCCCTTGGAGTTGACCCTCCTAAAGTTCCTATCGACTCCATTTGGCGACCACGAAGGGACCCGGCTTGGAGGTCCAGATAAATTATAGAGCAAATTTCCAAGCAGGCTTTCTCGGACCGTCTCTTTTTATTCCTCCTTCCCTTCCTTCCTCCTATCCTTCCCTTCCACCCATTCATCCTTCCGTCCTTCCCTTTTGTCTTTCCTTCCTTCTCTCTTTCCTTCTTACCTTTCTCCCTTCCTTACTTCCCTCTTTCTCCTTCCATCCTTCCCTTCCACCCTTTCGTCCTTCTGTCCCTCCTTCCCTCTTTCAACCGCTATCTCCTTCCTTCCATTTTGTCTTTCCTTCCTTCCCTATTTCCTCCCTCCTTCCCTCCCTCTCCCTCCTTCTCCTTCCTTCATTCCTTCCTTCCTTCACTTTTGTCTTTTCTTCCTTCCCTCTTTCCTCCCTCCCTCCATTTCCTTCCTCCCTTTCATCCTTCCTTCCTTTTTTCCTTCCTCCCTTCCACTCTTCTTTTCCTCCCTTTCTTCTTTGCTTCTTTTTTCCTTCCTCCTTCCCTTCCTTCTTCCTATCCATCCCTTCCACCCATTTGTTCTTCCTTCCATTTTGTCTATCCTTCCTTCTTTCTTTCCTTCTTACCTTCCTCCCTTCTTTACCTCCCTCTTTCTTCTTCCTTCCCTCTTTCTCCTCTCTCCCTTTTTCTCCTTCCTTCCTCCTTCCTTCCTTTTTTCTTTCTTCCTTCCCTCTTCCCTCCTTCCCTCCATTCCTTTCCCCCTCTTCCTCTTCCTTCTTCCTTCCTTCCTTCCTTCCTTCCTTCCTTCCTTCTTTTTCCTTCCTCCCTTCCATCCTTCTCTTCCTCCCTTCCTTCCTTCTCTTTTTCATTTCACATTAGAATCAAAGCGTCAGCTTTAGAAACACTTTAGAAGCAAAACACCAGACCCCCATAATTTTGTATGTGGTTTAGAACCATTTAGAACCATGGATCGCACATGCCTAAAAATTACTAATAGCTGTATATTATACCATTAGACTTCTTTTTGCTCAAAAAATCCATAATTGGTTTCCAATCCTTCAAAAAGGATTGATTTATCCTTTCAAGCCTAGTTAGTCCTCTGCATCCACACTTTCTGTGGATACAGAGGACTTTAGCACAGCTGGGCTGGGCTTTAGAACAGCTGGTAAATCACCAGCAATGATAAGATCTACCAACCGAAAGGTTGCCAGTTCGAAGCCCCAGGTTGGTGTGAGCATCCAACTGTCAACCCAGCTCACTGTTTACCTAAGCAGTTAGCTGTAAGTAGAATAATTAGGTACCGCTAAAAAGTGGGGGAGGTATTTTACGATACCATAAAGAAAAAGATCAGGAAATACCCAGCGACCAAAAAAGGGAGGAGGAAGTCCTGATAGCTCTTCGTCATAGAGGATGGAGCAACAGCACCCCCCTGTGGATGGATTTGAGCACAACCTCCAAGGCGCCAAAAAGCTGGACTTCAACACAACATACCTCCTTTCTGTACTGTCTGTCTCTGTCCTCTCTGCCCAAAATGGCATTGAATGTTTGCTGTGTATGTGTACTGTGATCCGCCCTGAGTCTCCTTGGGAAGAATATAAATAAAGTATTATTATTATTACTCAACCACCCATGACCTGAACCTTGATTTCGTCGTTCTATTACACCATCATATCCAATGGAACTTGAGCATCCATGTATTTAATGTATGTTTGGGGTGGGTGGGGGGAATGCCTTGGTTCATATAATTTTGCAAGGTCTTTAGCCTTCTCTGCTGGTACCTCTCCAAACTAAAACTCCCAGGATTCCATAGCATTTTTGTCATTTGGGAGTTGTAGTTGCTGGGATTTATAGTTCATCTAAAGAGCGTTGCATACAGAGGCGGCCCTAGGTAATTTTCAACGGTAAGCAAACAGTATTTTGCCCCCCCACCCCCAACCAATCATTGATATATATTTCCTGTTCATCGTGGGAGTTCTGTGTGCCATATTTGGTTCAATTACATCATTGGTGGAGTTCAGAATGCTCTTTGATTGTAGGTGAACTATACATCCCAGTAACTACACTTGCCGTACTTGCTCCCTTGCCTGGCCCGCTTTGGGTCGGAGGCGTGCCTGAAGACCCCGGCGTGTGCACCAAAAGTCACCTCTTCTCCTGACTTTCTCCTCAGCCATTGGGACCAAGAGAGAGAGAGAGAGAGGTGGAGATGCCCACCTTTCCTGAAGGTAGGCGCAAAAACAAAGGAGGGAGTGGAGGTGGGAGATACCTCCAGCTGGAGGGGCTCTCTCTCTGTTCAGCCGGAGGGGCTCTCTCTCTGTTCAGCTGGAGGGGCTCTCTCTCTGTTCAGCCGGAGGGGCTCTCTCTCTGTTCAGCCGGAGGGGCTCTCTCTCTGTTCAGCCGGAGGGGCTCTCTCTCTGTTCAGGTTTAATCTCTCTCTCTCTCTCTCTTGGTCCCAATGGCTGAAGAGAAAGTCAGGAGAAGAGGCGACTTTTGGTGCGCATGCTGGGATCTTCAGGCACGCTTCCGGACTCGAAGCGGGCCAGGCGTGGCGGCTCCGCCCCTTGGCCCACCCGCAGATTGGGGAGAGGAGAGGAGGCGGGTGGAGCGCCGGGGGATTGGGAAAGGGAGCCGGTCATGGGGAAGGGATCGAACGCGGAGAACGATTGAGTGCCGGCTCTGCTCGCACCCGGTGGCCGGGTGGAGCAGGACCGAGAGGGGCTAGGCGAGGCTCAAGGGCCCGGCCCCTTTGGGAAGAGGATCGCCCGGCAGCAAGGCAAGAAAGCCGAGGCTCCCCCCGGACTGCTAGGGCTGTTGTGAGCTGAGGGGCACTCCTCAAGTGGTGGTCGAGGGGCATTTACAGAGGCGCCTCTGTGCCCCTGGCAAAAAAAAGTGTTCTGCGACTGCTTACTTCGCGTAATGGACGAGCCGCCCCTGGTTGCATATGTCAAGGTCTATTTTCCCCCAAGAGCGCCTCAAGAGCGCCCCTGGGAAAAATCAACTATACTGCAAATGCTTACTTTGCGTAATGGGTTGAGCCACCCCGGGAAGGAGTGGCAGGCAGCGCAAAAGGGGCGGAAATAAAATAAAATAAAGAGGAAGGAGGCTTGCGGGCCGGATATTCATCCCCGCAGCACACTGGTAGTCCGTGGCCCACAAGTTACAAACCACTGCATTATATGCAGATATTGCAAAACTTGGGAGGTAAAAAATCCCAAATTTATTTATTTATTTATTTATTTATTGCATTTATATACCGCAAGTTAAGAAACACTGCATTATATGCAGATATTCCAAAACTTGGGGGGTAAAAAATCCCGAATCTCAAATTTATGTTTATTTATTTGATATTTATTGCAATTATATACCTCAAGTTAAGAACCACTGCATTATATGCAGATATTCCAAAACTTGGGGGGTAAAAACCCCCAAATTTATTTATTTATTTAGTTAGTTATTGCATTTATGTAACACAAGATAAGAACCACTGCATTATATGCAGATATTCCAAAACTTGGGAGGTAAAAAATCCCAAATCCCAAATTTATTTATTTATTTAGTCATTTATTTATTGCATTTATATACTGCAAATTAATAACCATTGCATTATATGCAGATATTCCAAAACTTGGGAGGTAAAAAATCCCAAATCCCAAATTTATTTATTTATTTATTGCATTTATATACCGCTTTTCTCGTCCCTGGTTGGCCTCAAAGCAGTTCACAACATAATCAATTGAAAATTCAATGCCTCACATGTATAAAAACACCACATATCAATAAACGCAATGAAATACAAAATTACTGTATTATACACATATTTTGGTTTTTAATTGAAAGCATTGTTTCTTCTCCTTCTTCCCCAATTTCTTTGGCATCTCCTGTGCCTTTGTTCCTCTAGATCTGGTATGGGCCAACTTCGGCCCCCTGGCTATTCTGGACTCCAACTCCCACAATTCCCAACAGCCTTTGATCTCAAATATTTCTGTTAAGAAATACTCAGCCTGCATAATATTACGAGTATGTGTTTAGACTTGGCTTTCGTCTGCAAGGTGATGCAAATATTCCAAAGGGATGCTCAACCTGGGTATTTATTTGTCATGTCAGGGCAACCAGTCAATTGTATTGCATTTCTAACAGAACAAAACAAACAAACAGACAAAATACAAAGTTTGCAAGCTTTGTGATTAAATGTCCTTTGACCAGTATCTGGCCACTTGGAGTGCCTCTGGTGTTGCTGCAAGAAGATTCTCCATTGTGCATGTGGCAGGGCTCAGGGTGCATTGCAGCAGGTGGTCAGTGGTTTGCTCTTCTCCACACTCGCATGTCGTGGATTACACTTTGTGGCCCCATTTCTTGAGGTTGGCTCTGCATCTCGTGGTGCCAGAGCGCAGTCTGTTCAGCGCCTTCCAAGTCGCCCAGTCTTCTGTGTGCCCAGGGGGGAGTCTCTCATTTGGTATCAGCCATTGGTTGAGGTTCTGGGTTTGAGCCTGCCACTTTTGGACTCTCACTTGCTGAGGTGTTCCAGCGAGTGTCTCTGTAGATCTTAGAAAACTATTTTGATTTAAGTCGTTGACGTGCTGGCTGATACCCAAACAGGGGATGAGCTGGAGATGTCTCTGCCTTGGTCCTTTCACTATTGGCTGCTCCTTCCCGGCGGATGTCAGGTGGTGCAATACTGGCTAAGCAGTGTAATTTCTCCAGTGGTGTAGGGCGCAGACACCCCGTGATAATGCGGCATGTCTCATTTGAGAGAAGCAGTGAACCAAAGTCACTCCATCTTCTCTGTCTATTCTTTAGAAAAGGGCATATTCTCCACTTCTAATCAAGAAACAGCCTGTCTTTCTTTCTTTAGGGAGGCAGGTGTTATGACAGTTGGTTCCAAGAAACAGTTTGTGGCCAGCCAATGTGGTCGGCCAGATATGATGAAGATATATGCAGTATGTCACGTTAATAGAGATGCCTATGGGAGTTGTTTACTCCAGGGGAGGTGTCTTGGACTGTTGGTGGTGAGCTACACCCCACAGATGCTTACCTCGAAAGAGGTGTTAGCCCATCTGTGTAACCTGATAGAGAAAAAGGGAAACTCCTAGACAATGGTATATAAGCCTCGCAGCCAGAGGGCTCGAGGCGCGACAGCTTTGTATTGACACTGAGCCTTAGTGTCATTCTGTCCGCCTATTCTACTGCAGTACAATAAAGGTGCTTGCTTTTAAACTCATTTGGGCTTCGAGTGGTCTTCAAAGTGTCTCAGCAAGATCCCGGCCGAAAGCAGTGGGAGGAGCGGCCTGCCGTTCCCCCTGTTCCTGCTTCATTTCTGGTTCCCTGACCGGGAAATCGAAGGCTGAGTATTCGCTGTAGGACCATCTCGGAGCTGTTCTTGGGAGCTGAGAGCGGACCTTCCCCTTCTGGGGTGCAGCAATTGGTTCACGCCGAGACGCGGCCGCGCTTAAGACCGGCGGTTCCTCTTGCGGCACCCAAGGCAGGGTGAGTAGTCCCTCTTCCAAAGCAGGAGTTTTTGAGACAACCACTACCCGGGAGGCGGCCGCCGCGGGAACCTGGACGGGACCTTGATCAGGCAAGTAGAATTTTTTGGTGTGCATTAGTAGGGCTTTGCGGGACTTGTGAGAGAAGTACCGGGGAATCTGAAAGTGCATGTCTTGAAACCGTGTTGAGAGTCCAGGGTTCACGGGGACCTTTGGGGTGGACAAGGAAAAGTCATAAATCCCCAGGGGTAGGAATAGAGCTCTAGGTATTAGGCAATAGAAGTGTTTGAAATTAAGTCATGGGAGGGGGAGGATCAAAGGGGCCAAAGACCCCCCTCCAATGCATGTTGGATCATTTTAAGGAATTTAAAGTGTATACTCAGGAGGAAGGGCTGCAGAAATTTAAACTACGGAATTTGTGTGAAACGGATTGGCCACAGTACCCTCTTTCCCGCCCATGGCCCCCTGAGGGGACAAGTGATCCCAAACTGGCCTTGGAGGCATTAATATATGCAGACCGGGTCCATCCAGACCAGTGGAAGTATCTTGATGCTTGGGGAGCGGTTTTGGAGAAACAGCCTGGGTGGTTGAAGGAATGCAAGTGCATGAATGTTGGTGCCATAGTGGATGAAAGGAACAAAGGCACCGGCACGATTAGTGTCCGGCGGGTATTTGGAGCACCAAGGGAAAAGAAACTGGAAGGGAGAGTTAACCCCTATCCGGACTCGGGAAATCCAGCTGATGAGCCGCAGCCGGTTCCCCCATACACCCCCGCCTTCTATCCCCCGTTGCCGCCTCAACTTGGTCTAGGTGCGATTGGAGGAGCTGGCCCCGCTACGGCCCCACCTTTGCAGGGGCCTGAGGTGGATTCCAGTCTTGAACCGTACCTACCCCCAAAGGAGGAATTTGAACAAATGTCCCTAGAGGAACAAAATCGGAGGCTTACTAGGGCAATGAAAAAAGCAAAGGAGGCAAGGAAGCAAGAGGCTGGGCAGGAGGAGGGGCTGCGGGAAGCCGAGGCACTGTGCCCTGTTAGGGAGGTGCCTCAGCTTGTTCCTGTAGCACCGGATGAAGATGGAACACCAAAGTTTGAGACTCGGGTGGTGTATCAGCATGTGCCATTCACTAGCTCGGATCTTCTGAACTGGAAGGCATCTCGACCTTCCTGGACAGAGGACCCGAGGGGAATGGCAAGTCTAGTGGAAGGCATTGTTCAGACCCATAATCCCAGTTGGGTAGATTTGAAACAATTAATAGAAATGTTGCTAACAGCTGAGGAGCGTGTGTTGATGACACAAGTAGGGAAGCAGGAAGCTTTGAAAGAGCATGCAAGCACACACAGTCAGCAAGCAGCAGATGTATACCAGGAAGCGGTATTCCCAGTAGGGCGAGATCCCCGCTGGGACCCTAATGTGCCGGAAAACAAGGATTCTTTGAAGTTGTACCAGCAGTTGATTGTTCGTGCCTTGAGAAAGGGATCCCCACGGATCCCTAACGTAAGGAAAATTTATGAGATGGAACAGGAGAAAGATGAGAGCCCAGCAGCGTTTTTGGAAAGGTTGAGGGAGGCTTTTATGAAGTACTCTCCGTATGATATGGAAGATCAGGATGATAAGGCTGAAGGGAAAGTGGTGTTGAAGAGTGCCTTCATCAGTCAGTGTGCACCAGACATTCGGAGAAAGCTTCAGAAGAGCCCTGGGCTGGTACACATGACTTTGGAAAGGGTGATGGAGGTGGCTAGCCAGACCTACATGTCCCGTGAGGCTGTGCAGGCCAAGCAGGAGGAGGCAAAGGTGTGTCGGAGAGCAAAGTTGGTTGCAGCTGTGTTTCAAGGAGAAGGGCCCAGTGGGCCAGGATGGAAAGGGAGAGGACAAGGCCAGGTGGGAAAGGCCCAGGGGAGCCGCAGGCCCCCTCTGGGGCCGAATGAATGCGCTCGGTGCCACCGTCAGGGGCACTGGAAGAACGAATGTACAATGAATGTTGTGGAAGGACAGGGAAAGGGAGTGCAAGGGAGAAATTGGAGAGGAAAAGGGCGAGGTCGCGGGGCTGGGAAGCAGCCTCGTTGGGGCCCAGTGGCAGCGGGGTTGGCCGACCCAGCCCAGGATGAGCTTGGTCTTGCCATTATGAGGGAAGAGGATGGGTGGCAGGACATCGAGCAACAATAGGACAGACCGGCTCCGAGGCCCCGGGGAAGACATGGGATGGTTCGGATTGGTCCGGGGGAGCCTTTGGTCTGTATGGAAGTTGGAAACCAATCTGTTGAGTTTATGCTTGATTCCGGGGCCTCAAAGTCAGTGGTGAACACGGTTGTGTCTCACCCTACTAGTGAAAATGTAAATATCGTAGGAGCCACGGGGAGGCGAAGAGCCTGCCCCCTATTGGCAGAAAGGGAGTGTTCATTGGGAGGGCACCGGGTTCGGCATAAGTTCATCTATATGCCAGAATGCCCAGTGCCTCTCCTGGGTAGAGACGTTTTGTGTAAAATGAGAGCAGCATTGCTTTTTGAGAAGGACGGATCTCTGTTGGCAGGGTTTAGAGAAGGACAGAATGGGCAGGAATTGGATAGGCGTTTGCAAATGGCTTTGGAACTACCAGTGGAGGAGGAGTGGAGATTGTACACGGTAATAGAGGAAAGAACCGATTGGGAGGCTTTTGGTGTCCCAAAGGTATGGGCTGAAGATAACCCTCCAGGATTGGCAAAAGATGTTCCACCAGTGGTGATTGAGTTAAAGCCCTTTGCCAATCCGGCTGTAGTCCATCAGTATCGTCTCCCTCGGGCGGCGGTGGTTGGAATTGCAGCCTATTTGGAGAAGTTGGAAAAATATGGTATTCTGGTTCCTTGCCAGTCGCCATGGAACACACCCCTCTTGCCAATCCAGAAGCCGGATGGAACTTACCGGCCTGTACAAGACTTACGGGCAGTTAATAAGTTGGTGATTCCTCTTCACCCGGTGGTCCCAAATCCCTACACCCTGCTGAGCCTGATTCCACCTCACCACCAGTGGTTCACGGTCCTGGATCTTAAGGATGCGTTTTTTGCATCCGCTTGGCTAAGAAGAGCCAGGAGATCTTTGCTTTTCAAAGAGAAGATCCAGAGACGGGACACAAGGGCCAGATGACGTGGGCCAGACTTCCGCAGGGATTTTGCAACTCACCAACGATTTTTGGGCAAGCTTTGGCTCAGGACTTGTTGCCTTTAGTCAAAAATGACAAGGGATGGACTATTTTGCAGTATGTGGATGACATACTTTTGGGAACAGATACTAGAGAACAGTGTCTAGAAGGAACTCAGGCTCTGTTACAGTTCTTGGCAGAGAAAGGTTACAAGGTTTCTAAGAAGAAGGCTCAATTGGTACAGCGAGAGGTTAAGTATTTAGGTTTTCGGCTGGCTCAAGGTTTCCGGAGGTTGGAGGTGGAACGTAAAGAGGCCATCTGTTCCATCCCCACCCCCCAGACGAAGAAACAGATTAGGGAATTCTTGGGGGCGGCGGGGTTCTGTCGCATATGGGTTCCAAATTTCGGACTATATGCTAAACCCCTCCACGAGGCTACAAAAGGGAAATCAGGAGACCCATTGGTGTGGGGTCCAGAGCAGCAACTTGCATTTGAAGACCTCAAGAAAGCTTTGATGTCGGCCCCCGCTTTGGGGCTACCTGATTTGGAGAAGATCTTTTACTTATATGTAGGAGAAAGAAAGGGAGTGGCAGTTGGAGTGTTGACTCAACTTGTAGGGAGCTGGCCTCGACCAGTGGCTTATTTGTCGAAGCAACTGGACAATGTGGCTTGTGGATGGCCCCCATGCTTAAGGGCTGTGGCAGCCGCTGCAGTCCTTGTGGAAGAAGCAAATAAATTGACTTTGGGACAGCCCATCATCTTGAAGTGCCCCCATGCTGTAGTAACCTTGATGGAACATAGGGGGCACCATTGGCTCACAAACAGCCGAATGTTAAAATATGAAAGCATGTTGGTGGACAATCCTCAGGTCACCTTGTCTGTGTGTGCAACTTTAAACCCAGCTACCCTTCTACCGGTGGAAGAAGGAACCTTGATGCAGCACGATTGTTTGGAGGTGATGGATGAGGTCTACTCAAGTAGGCCAGATCTCAAAGATGTACCTTTTCAGACCCCTGAGTGGGTGCTTTTCACAGATGGTAGCAGTGTGGTGATTGCAGGACAACGAAAAGCAGGGTATGCTGTGGTGACAGGGGATGGGAAGACCTTGGAGGCAAAGGGGTTGCCCCCAGGGACCTCCGCCCAGAAGGCTGAGCTTATTGCTCTCACCAGGGCTCTACAATTGGCAAAGGGAAAGAAAGTCAATATTTACACTGACTCAAAATATGCTTTCACTACCCTGCACGCCCACGGTGCCATATACAAAGAAAGGGGTTTGTTAACCTCAGCAGGACAACAGATTAAGAATGCTAGTGAAATTCTACAGCTTTTGGAAGCAGTATGGGAACCAAAGGAAGTAGCCGTAATGCATTGTAAGGGACATCAGTACGGTGAGGACCAAGTGACTCAAGGGAATCGGCTGGCTGACCAACAAGCCAGAAGAGTGGCTGAGTGTAGTGCACCGGAGGAGACAGTGTTGCAATTAGATGTCACACCAGTGATAGGGACCATGACCTACTCTGCAGAGGAAAAGGAGTGGGCTTTGAATGAGGGAGCGAGGTGGAAGGACGGAATTCTTTTATTACCCAATAGCAAGGTATTTGTCCCCAAGGCTTTAGGATGGGAATTGATAAAGGAAGTACATAGGCAAACTCATTTGGGAGCAACCAGTATGGCAACGTTACTTGAGAGACAACTCTGGGTGGATGGTTTGCACGCATTGGCTAGGGCCGCCGCCTTGAGGTGCGAGATCTGTGCGAAGAACAATCCCAGGGCGGGGCCCTTGCTTCCCCCAGGAGTGCAGTATTTGGGAAAAACACCTTTCGAGTCCTTATCTGTCAATTTCACTGAAATGCCAAAGGCCCAATGGTTTCACTACATGTTAGTGATGGTTTGTACATATTCAGGGTGGGTGGAAGCGTATCCCACCACCACTGAGAGAGCAGTAGAGGTTAGTAGGGCACTGTTAAGGGACATTATCCCTCGTTATGGAATACCCCTACACATTGGAAGTGACAATGGTCCAGCTTTTGTTCACCAGGTTATAGGGTGCCTAGCTCAGTTGTTAGGAACCACTTGGAAGCTGCATTGTGCCTATAGACCTCAATCATCAGGGAAGGTAGAAAGGATGAATAGGACTTTGAAAGGACTCTGTCAAAAATGTGTCAGGAAACTGGGATGTCTTGGATTCAAGTACTACCAATGGCCTTGTTGAAAGTTAGATGCACTCCCACTAAAGTTCTGGGCTTGTCGCCATTTGAATTGATGTATGGAAGGCCCCCTTTAAAGATGAAGCCATTACAGGGAGACATAAGGGAGTTGGGAAAACAAGAACTGATAAAGGAGGTTCAGGCTTTGGGAATAGTATTAAATAAATTGTACAATTATACTGGCATGTTGCGATATCCCTTCCCTGTTACTGCGCTACACTCTTTCTCACCAGGAGACCAGGTGTGGCTAAAAGATTGGAGGTGTGATCCCCTGGGACCGAAGTGGAAGGGCCCGCTGCAAGTGCTGTTAACAACTCCCACTGCTGTGAAATTGGAGGGTGTGAAACCGTGGGTGCACTATACCCGCATCAAGAAGGACTATACTGCTAAGGACCCAGACTTTTGGCAAGTAAACCTGAATCCGGACAATCCACTAAAATTCACTCTCAACAAAGTTAAGGGACAGGCTAAGGGCTACCCTGAAGAGGAGGGGGATCCAGCTTCATAGAGCTCCTCCCCCGGGGGTCAGGCGACCAAGCGCCGCCCTGAAAGGAAGGAGGGTAGCTTCCGAGAGCTACCCCAAAGACCGAAGGGACATTGGGGGTTGGGAGTGGGATTGTGTATTGTCTGTGAATTGAATATTGATTGAACACTGTTGCTAACACTTACATATGCATACCTGAACATGAAGTATCTATGCTATCTGATACTACTGAGTATGGCCCCCTTGAGGGAGATCCAAGGAGGATGGGAACAGAACATATTCCATCAACTAATAAGAGAAATAGTGAATGAATCCAAAATAACTAATTGCTGGGTTTGTGCCCATGGTCCTCGTTCACAATATGAGGGATGGTCCATGGTAGTGGGAACAGTATTAGACCTGAAGGGTTGGAAAATTTTCACACCATGGACCTATAACATGGAAAAAGGGTTAAAGGATTCAGCCCAGTTTATGTTAGCTCACAGGGTACCTCCGCCAGAGGCCCCTGTGTGTATCACTCGAGGTAAGGCAGAAATCCAGAAAGGAATTCACGAGAACTTTCCCCAGGCAATACCAATAGATCTTGGAGATTACCCCCACTGTAATGTCACTTATACTGTGTACTATGGTCATCTCCAAATGAAAATAGAGGAGCCAAAACAGGAGGACAAACCCCAGAGGTTGAGGAGGGAGACCCCAGGATCATCAGGGGGAGATGAAAAACTCCCCCCTCCTCGTCCTGGACGCCAGGGAAGAATTGGGAGTCTCCCAAAGGGATCTACAGCACGAAAGGCAGGGACGAGGAAGGCCCCGTCAGGGGCGGATGGTGCGGCAGCCTTTCCCCGTCACCCAGATTCTGATCAACCTCAGGAAAACCTCCCATTAGAACAACGGATCCCCGGAGGATCAAAACCCGGTATCCTTGTTGACAATCATGCCCTAGGAGGCCTGCCTTCAGGTTTCTATTGGATATGTGGGCAGTGGGGTGGAAAGGTTTTACCCCCACTCTGGACAGGTACATGTACCATCGGTACCTTAGCCCCGACCAACATAGAAATCTATCCTAAACAGCAGCCTCATTTGACTTGGGGGACCAAACGTGGAGGATATCGGGCAAAGAGAGCCTATGATGAGAAATATGGATACGATCCAGATGAAACATACCTTAGTGAAGGAGCCAGGTTGGGAGCCATCTTGTTTCCCCAGGTGGGGGTGGCCCTCAATGTGAGACAGATTAGGAGGCTATCAGCACAAATGGAAAGATTGGCAAATAATACCGTTAAAGGGATCAAAGCTCTCCAAACAGAGATTGATTCATTGGCAGGAGTTCTAATGCAGCACAAGCTGGCTTTAGACTATCTTCTATCCGCTGAGGGCGGATTATGTGTCTGGCTTAACGTGACGTGTTGCCATTATGTCAATGAATCAGGAGAGATTGAATCCGATATGGAAAAGATCAATAACATAGTCTCCACCATTAGGGCAGGATACTCCCCAAAAGGAGCGGGTTGGTTCGATTGGTTAACATCCTGGCTACCAAATTTCCAGTGGTTAAAAGATATTGTTGTTGTTGTTTTTATTATTTTGCTACTCATAGTTCTTGCAATAATGTTACTGCCATGCTTGTTGTCTTGCTTAAGAAATATGGTTGAAAAGGTGGTAAATGCTTCCAACACCAGGATTAGACAGAGGAAAAACGTCATGAACATGAAACTAGGAAAAATGAAAAAGGAGAAACTCCCCCGTAATCTGAGAAATGATAACTAAGAGCCTCTCTCTTAGTTCCAAGAAAAAATGGGGGAATGAGAGAAACAGTGAACCAAAGTCACTCCATCTTCTCTGTCTATTCTTTAGAAAAGGGCATATTCTCCACTTCTAATCAAGAAACAGCCTGTCTTTCTTTCTTTAGGGAGGCAGGTGTTATGACAGTTGGTTCCAAGAAACAGTTTGTGGCCAGCCAATGTGGTCAGCCAGATATGATGAAGATATATGCAGTATGTCACGTTAATAGAGATGCCTATGGGAGTTGTTTACTCCAGGGGAGGTGTCTTGGACCGTTGGTGGTGAGCTACACCCCACAGATGCTTACCTCGAAAGAGGTGTTAGCCCATCTGTGAAACCTGATAGAGAAAAAAGGAAACTCCTAGACAAGGGTATATTAGCCTCGCAGCCAGAGGGCTCGAGGCGCGACAGCTTTGTATTGACACTGAGCCTTAGTGTCATTCTGTCCGCCTATTCTACTGCAGTACAATAAAGGTGCTTGCTTTTAAACTCATTTGGGCTTCGAGTGGTCTTCAAAGTGTCTCAGCAAGATCCCGGCCGGCTAAACAGTGTAATTTCTCCAGTGGTGTAGGGCGCAGACACCCCGTGATAATGCGGCATGTCTCATTAAGAGCCACATCCACTGTTTTAGCGTGGTGATATGTGTTCCACTCTGGGCATGCCTACTCAGCAGCAGAGTAGCACAGCGCAAGGGCAGATGTCTTCACTGTGTCTGGTTGTGATCCCCAGGTTGTGCCAGTCAGCTTTCGTATGATATTGGGTAAAATTATGGAATTACTACAGCTGTTACAAAACACCAGACTCAAGACAGTAAATAAACATCACCACTTGGAAACAGGAGAACTCCAGCCAGCTAACAATGAAGTGCCAGTTAACATCTCCCAAACAGAGGATGCCTCCAGGCAACATAGGCCAGGCTATCTTTATGCAGATACCCTCACTGACTTTATGGCTACTCAATGCTACTTCATGGCTACTCAATGCCACTCAAGCTTGCTAGTTGCAACATTCACACTTGTATTGTCAATGGTTTTCAGGACCAAAATCACTCAGTTGTTGTGAGTTTGCTAGGCTGTCTGGCCATGTTCCAGAAGCATTCTCTCCTGAGGTTTCACCTCCATCTATGGCAGGCTTCCTCAGAGGTTGTGAGGTCTGTTGGAAACGAGGAACATGGGGTTTATACGTGTAACATTCACACTTGCTTATATGTCACACTTTTTTATATTTATTATTTATTTTATTTATTTATGACATTTATATGCCATCCTTCTCACCCCAAAGGGGACTCAGAGCGACTTACAAGATACATATGCATACAATATATTATATTATTAGCATAGTACAATATCAGTATTATATAGGTTGTTGTAGGTTTTTCCGGGCTATATGGCCATGTTCTGGAGGCAATTTTTCTCCTGACGTTTCGCCTGCATCTATGGCAAGCATCCTCAGAGGTAGTGAGGTCTGTTGGAAGTAGGAAAAATGGGTTTATATATCTGTGGAATGACCAGGTGAGACAAAGGACTCTTGTCTGCTGGAGCTAGGTGTTATATATTACTATATTGTATTATACCATGATCTTGTAATATTATTAGTAATATTACATGTAATATAAAATATATAATTATATCATATTATTATTAGTATTATATTTTTGTTGTTCATTCGTTCAGTTGTCTCTGACTCTTCGTGACCTCATGGACCAGCCCACGCCAGAGCTCCCTGTTGGCCATCACCACCCCCAGCTCCTTCAAGGTCAGTATTATATTGTATTTACTACGCTACGCTTATATACCGCAATTCTCAGCCTACTGGCGATATTGTATTACATTATAATATTATAAATATTATATTTTAAAATATTTATAAAATATTATATTTTATATTAATATTACATAAAATGTTAGTATAATATAATATATATAATATATTATAATTATGTAATATAATAATATAATATATATATATATATATATATATATTATATAATTATATATTTTATGTATCAATTATATATATATATATTATATTATATAATTATATAATATATATTATATTATTATACTAATATTATAAAATATTATATTATATTAATATTATAATTTTATATTTATAATATAATATATTATATATTATATAATTTATTAATATATATAATATAATTATAATATAATAATATATATTATATATTTATATTATATATATTATATATTAATATTATATATATAATATTATATAATATTAATATTATATTATAATTATATTATATATAATATAATAATATAAATAATATTATATATATATATATATAATTATATATATTATTATATATTATATAATTAATTATTTATTATATATATATATATTATATTATAATATATATAATATTATATATTATAATATTATATATATATAATATTATATTTTATAATATTAATAATTTATTATAATATTATATATAATATATAATATATAATATAATATATAATATATTATATATTATATAATTATATATATTAATTTTATGTATCAATTTTATATATTTATATTTATATATATATATATATATATATATAATATTATACTAATATTATAAAATATTATATTTGATATGTCTTACATTCACACTTGCTTCAAGCAGGAGAGGGTTCTTTCTCCCACCCTAGAAATTCCACAGATGTATATATTCACTCCACTTGTTTGACTGCCAACAGAACCTCTGAAGATGCCATTAGCCACAGATGCAGGCGAAACGTCAGGAGAGGATGCTGCTGGAACAGAACCGATTTTTTTTTTTACAGCAACCCATTCCCGTTGTTACAAAGTGGGATGATCACTCTAAATGTTCATAGGTCTATGGCTCCGAAGATGCTCCTGGCCTCCTGATTGGCTGCTTCCCCTGGAATCCCTGGGACATTTGACCCTGCACCAGGCACATTGCTGGCAAGTTGCACATGACTTTCCAAAGCAGGAGCAAAGGGAGGAGTTGCAAGACCCTCTCCTGCTTTTTGGCCCCAGGGCTGATCCTGCAACTACTCTGCTCACTTTCTCCCATTACTACCAGCCTCTCCAATGCCGGGTCCTTTTGCACTTCGAGGGATTCGCAGCACGGTGAGCCCCAAAAGCAGTGGGTGGGAGAGTGGGGAGCCAGGCAAGGGGCTTTTGGGGGGCATGCAGAGTCATTGCAAAGGCGATTTGCAATTTCCCCTTGAGACTGGGAGGCTTCTAGGTGTATGGGAACAGGTCTTATCACATTATTATCATTATTATTATTATTATTATTATTATTATTGAAACATCATTATTGAAACACTATTATTGAAACATTATTAAAACATTATTATTACTTTTGAAACATTATTATTATTGAAACATTGAAACATTATTATTATTATTATTATTATTGAAACATTATTATTACTTTTGAAACATTATTATTATTGAAACATTATTATTGAAACATTATTATTATTGAGACATTATTATTATTGAAACATTATTAGTATTGAAAAATTATTGAAACATTATTATTGAAACATTATTATTGAAACATTATTATTATTGAAACATTATTATTATTGAAACATTATTATTATTATTGAAACATTATTATTATTGAAACATCATTATTGAAACATTATTATTATTATTATTGAAACATTATTATTATTATTATTATTGAAACATTGTTATTATTATTGAAACATTATTATTGAAACATCATTATTGAAACATTATTATTATTATTATTATTATTGAAACATTATTATTATTGAAACATTATTATTATTATTGAAACATTATTATTATTGAAACATCATTATTGAAACATTGTTATTATTATTGAAACATTATTATTGAAACATTATTATTATTATTATTATTGAGACATTATTGTTATTATTGAAACATTATTATTATTGAAACATCATTATTGAAACATTGTTATTATTATTGAAACATTATTATTATTATTGAAACATTATTATTATTACTTTTGAAACATCATTATTGAAACATTATTATTGAAACATTATTATTATTGAAACATCATTGAAACATTATTATTAGTATTGCAACATCATTTTTGAAACATTATTATTATTGAAACATCATTGAAAAATTATTATTATTATTATTATTATTATTATTTAAACATTATTATTGAAACATTGTTGTTGTTGTTGTTGTTATTATTATTATTATTATTATTATTATTATTATTATATTAACACAACAAGATGAGTCCACAGCAGACACTCTGCAGGCTGTTGAATTGGATCACACGTCAGACACTTCCCAAGTGTCTAGGACTGTGTGATGTATCGACAAATAATGTGTGCAGATCCCAGTAGAGTGGCCTTTTGTAGCTGACAGATGGGAATTTTGTCAGTTTGTTTGTGGTTTATTCACTCAGTCTTTCCCGATTCCTTATTTATTTACATGTATACCACTTTTTTCACCTCGGGGGATTCAAAGCAGTTTCTAACATATTTATGTCAAAATTTAATGCTTCACATACATATAAAAACTAACATATAAGTGTGCTTTGCTGCACAGGGACAACAATTTGAATCGTTTTGCATAAAACGATAGTTTAAAATGGAAATTAGAACTCCGATTAAACCATTAAAATAACATGTATTCTTCAATATCAGTGTATTGATTTAGCTTTCAAAGAATTACCATAGCAACTATTAACTGTGAAAGGGTGTATGTGTGTGTGGTGTGTGTGTGTGTGTGTGTGTGTGTGTGTGTGTGTATATATATATATATATATATATTGGGACAGACAAGAGTGCCCAAAAGGGAATGGGGTTATTTTTAACTCCAAGACACTCCTTTCCCCCGGATAAAATTACAGTATGACACATGTCTCTGTGAAGGATATGTTCCCAGACTGCACATAAATACGCACATGTGCCACTCAAGCGCACAATATTTATGCCCATTGACTATAACAAGAAACATAGAATGGGAAGAGATCCAGTTCTATTCTGCAGCCTATTTCACAGTTCTGACCATCAGGAAGCTCTTTTTAATATAATAATATAAAAATAATAAAACTTTCTTTATTACTTACTTACTTAGGCGATCCCTCGTTTTCCGAGGATGATTGTCTTCCAGTATTCTTGTGGGTCCGTATGTGGCTGTGGAGCCCTATACTTGACCTGCATCTTCTCCCACAGTGAGGGCATTGGTTTCCAAACGGAAGGCGGTCCTGATTGGGGTTGGCTTGACGCGCCTTCCTCTTGGCACTCTTTTCCCTTTCGCCCTCCATTCGTGCCTCTTCAAATTCTGCAGCACTGCTGGTCACAGCTGACCTCCAGCTGGAGCGGTCCCAGTTCTCAGTGTTTATGCCGGAGTTTTTAAGGTTGGCTTTGAGCCCGTCTTTCAATCTCTTTTCCTGTCCAACAACATTCCGTTTTCCGTTCTTGAGTTCGGAGTAGAGCAACTGCTTTGGGAGACGGTGGTCGGGCATCCGGACAACGTGGCCGGTCCAGCGGAGTTGATGGCGGAGCACCATCGCTTCAATGCTAGTGGTCTTTGCTTCTTCCAGCACACTGATGTTTGTCCGCTTGTCTTCCAAAGAGATTTGGAGGATTTTCCGGAGGCAGCGCTGATGGAATCGTTCCAGGAGTTGCATGTGACGTCTATAGACAGTCCACGTTTCACAGGCATAGAGCAGGGTTGGGCAGGCAATCTCTCTCTCTCTCTCTCTCTCTCTCTCTCTATATATATATATATATATATAAAATATATTCTGCAGCCTATTTCACAGTTCTTACCATCAGGATCTCTTCTTAATATAATAATATAAAAATAATAAAACTTTGTTTATTACTTACTTACTTAGGCATAATGAGTACCTTAAAAACAAAAGAAGCAATGAATGAAATCACACCAAACTTGGCAACAAAACATCTTACAACACAAGGAGTGACCATCACTCAAAAATATGATTTTTGGCCTTGAGTTTGGGAGTTGTAGTTCACCTACATCCAGAGAGACCTATTGACTCAAACAATGGTGGATCTGGACCAAACTTGGCATAGATACTCCATATGCCCAAATGTGAACACTGGTGGAGTTTGGGGGAAAGAGATATTGACATTTGGTAGTTGTAGTTGCTGGGATTTATAGTTTACCTACAATCAAAGAGCATTCTGAACTCCATCAACGATGGAATTGAACCAAACTTGGCACACAGAACTCCCATGACCAACAGAAAATACTAGAAGGGTTTGGTGGGCATTGACCTTGAGTTTGGGAGTTGTAGTTCATTTACATCCAGAGAGCACTGTGGACTCAAACAATAATGGATCTGGACCAAACTTGGCACATGCACTCAATACACCTAAATATGATCACACATGGAGTTTGGGGGAAATAGACCTTGACATTTAGGAGTTGTAATCACTGGGATTTATAGTTCACCAACAATCAAAGATCATTCTGAACCCCACGAATGACAGAATCGGGGAAAACTTCCCACACAGAATCCCCATGACCAACAGAAAATGCTTAAGGCCATCCAATCTAACTTCCTTCACCAGGGCAAGAAAATGTAATCAAAGCCCTCCTGACAAAGAGCCATCCAGCCATAGATACAGATAGATAGATGATAGATAGATAGATAGATAGATAGATAGATAGATAGATAGATAGATAGATATGATTCACACACAGAGAGATATAGTACCATAGATTTGAAAGGGACCCTTAAAGAAGGACAATGATATGTTGCATATTCCAGGGTGGGCAAACCAGACACTCTCCACATCAACACAAAGAAGCAACAAGAAATACTGTTTACCCACAAGCAGGAAGACATTACATATATTAGAAACCAACACTTTCTCATTCCCTTTATTTTCCAGATCAACAGACTGGGCCACAGCAACACGTGGCAGGGGACAGCTAGTAGCTTTATAAAGAAGCACCTTGGTCTCCCTACGGATGTCCCGGTCCTCAAACATTCATTCAGAAAAACGCTGCACTCACAGAGCTCAGGCGGTGTTGTATTTCAGTGTCGATGTTGACTTTGGTGGAGAGGTGGCTGCCAAGGTAGCGGAAATGGCCAACATTTTCTAATGTGACACCATTAAGCTGTATCTCTGGCATTGGAAAGGGGTTGGCTGGTGACTGCTGGAAGAACACTTTGGTTTTCTCGATGTTCAATGACAGGTCGAGCTTCTCATATGCTTCTGCAAAGGTGTTTAGAGTGGCTAGTAGGTCTTCTTCCGAATGCGCACAGATGACATTGTCATCAGCATACTGGAGTTCTATAGCAGATGTTGTTGTAACCTTAGTTTTGGCTTTCAGTCTGCCGAGGTTAATCTGCACGGTTGTAGTCCTGTACCCAGATCACTACAACCACATATTTTGCATATTAAGTGAATAAAAATACACGGGACAAGACTCTTTTTTTTAAAAAAATAAGGCTATTAATTGGTGTTTCAGGGCTGGAAATAATGTTAGCAGAAAAAATATTTTTTGTGGTATTATCTGTTGTATTCAGCATGTTGTTGCTATCAATTTAAGCTTTACCACTGTATTCTTCTACCATTCTCCCTTCTGTTCCCCCCAGAATATTTCTGTGTGCCCAGAAAACATGGCAGAAGCTCCAGCTGGATCCGGAAAGGTGACTCTTTTCAGCCAGAAGAAGCGAGGTGGACTCACCTACCGCATCCCAGCCTTGCTGTACCTGCCCTATGAGTCCACCTTCCTGGCCTTTGCAGAAGAACGCTCCTCGCCCAGAGACGAAGATGCCAAGTTCCTGGTGATGAGGCGAGGGAAGAAAGAAGGGACGTCTGTACAGGTATGCTTCCTTGCTCTGTAGCTAGGAGGCTATAGGAAAACTGTCATATTCTTGTATTGTCGAAGGCTTTCATGGCTGGAATAAGTGGGTTGTTGTAGGTATTTTCAGGCTATATGGCCATGTTCTAGAGGCATTCTTTCCTGACGTTTCGCCTGCATCTATGGCAAGCATCCTCAGAGGTAGTGAGGTCTGTTGGAACTAGGAAAATGGGTTTATATATCTTTGGAATGACCAGGGTGGGACAAAGGACTCTTGTCTGCTGGAGCTAGGTGTGAATGTTTCAACTGACCACCTTGATTAGCATCTGATGGCCTGGCAGTGCCTGGGGCAATCATTTGTTGAGAGGTGATTAGATGTCCTTGTTTGTTTCCTCTCTGTTGTTGTGCTGCTGTAATTTTAGTTTTTTAATACTGGTAACCAGATTTTGTTCATTTTCATGGTTTTCTCCTTTCTGTTGAAATTGTCCACATGCTTGTGGCCATCAAATGCTAATCAAGATGGTCAGTTGAAACATTCACACCTCGCTCCAGCAGTGCTCAGGCATTCATTTTTTGGTCAACTTTAAATTCGGTTTTGTTATTTGAGGTGCCAATTCAGAAAATTGCATTTGATGGACCACATCAGCTCTAGTTTCTGATACAGAACATATATGCCATCCAGTAGTCGCCATCTCCTTGCCCACAGAAAACCATATTTAATAATCTAGAGCTGATGTGGCGGTAGTAATCTTTTGTGGGTAGTCAGCCTCTCACCTCCTGATTTCCTGTTGCCTCAGCACTATAAGAGGGTTTTGCGAGACCAGTTGTTCTTGTTGCTGCATGGTTTCATGGCAAGGGTGTAGTAATGGTGAGGCCGTGGACCATATTTACGTTCTTGTGGACCTCAGGGTGCATTGCAGCAGGTGGTCAGTGGTTTGCTCTTCTCCACACTCGCATGTCGTGGAATCCACTTTGTGGCCCCATTTCTAAAGGTTGGCTCTGAATCTTGTGGTGCCAGAGCACGGTCCGTTCAGCACCTTCCAAGTCGCCCAGTCTTCTGTGTGCCCAGGGGGGAGTCTCTCATTGGGTATCACCCATTGATTGAGGTTCTGGGTTTGAGCCTGCCACTTTTGGACTCTCGCTTGCTGGGGTGTTCCAGCGAGTGTCTCTGTAGATCTTAGAAAACTGATTTAAAGATAATCTGAAAATAGATTCGCACTTTCATTATTTAAAGATAATCTGAAAATAGATTGCACTTTGGTTCCAAATTTAAAACATGGTACTTTCTGTTAATGGCTATCGTGTGTGTGTGTGTGTGTATATAATATTTATTTAATTAGTCTATTGTTTATGTTTGTGCAGCAAGAAACTATATTAGCAGGCCTAATGCAGTTGAAAAGTCTGAAAGTTTAAATGTCGCTTTAATCGTGACTTTAGTTTATATCCTGTTTGCTTCTCTTGACTTTTCTTTTGTATTCAAGGAAAGGATTCCCTCTTACAATGCTCCAGCAGGAGTCTGACAGCATTGACAGAGTCCATTGGCCTTGATCTCTTTTTTCCATAGTGCTTTATTGACACACGTGCGAAGCATAACTACAGTAAAAAGAACAATGTCAAACGATGTTTAACAATACTGTCTCAGTCCTCAACTGACTGACCCTCACCGTTTTCAAAAGTCTGGCCTTATATAGGGCTTTCTGGCTTTTGCACACGGCACCAATACTGCGTCATCAAACTTTCAAGAGTATTCTAGAATCTTCCATAGTTTAAGTCGCAACATGCATTTTTTCAACCATCACGTGATTGCTTATATCATAAAAACTAGAGCCAATATACATTTTTAAATGTCATTTTCATTTTCAGCACCCCAAAATAATAAAAGAATAACTATTTTCAGGCCCGCCACTTTTTCTCCATTGAGCAGTGTAATTCTTAACAGCTGGAAAACTGGCTGGGATTTCTGGGAGCTGAAGTGCAAAACAGCTGGAGGAGTAGAGTTTGCGAAATAGTGAGCTAGAGGAAGACTTGGAAAAGGGGTCCCAAAATTTAAATGAAAGTTGTATTGTGCAAAGTACACCAGTACACAGTTACATAACACTGACTTGTTGTATGGAGCTAGAGAAGAAAATTGAATTACCTATTTTATGTTTTCTCCCTATCTTGCTGTAGTGGGGTCCTCTCGAATCTCTGGAGACGGCCGTTCTGCCCAAGCACCGCACTATGAATCCTTGCCCGGTGTATGACAAAAAGAACGGCACTGTTTTCCTCTTTTTCATCTGCGTTGAGACTTACATTACCGAGTTGTACCAGATCCGGATGGGGAGGAACGCCGCCAGGTTGTGTTACATCTCGAGCCAAGATGGCGGCCGCACCTGGAGCCAAACAACCGACCTGACCGAGGAAGCGATTGGGGGCGAGATACAAAACTGGGCCACATTTGCTGTCGGTCCAGGTCACGGGATACAGCTGAGCTCCGGTCGGCTAGTCGTTCCGGCTTACGCTTACCATATCCATAAGCGTTTATTCGGCCGGCCGCTCGCTTGCTGGACCAAGCCTCATTGCCTCACATTTTATAGCGACGATGGCGGACGGAGCTGGGCACGGAGCAAACCCCTGAAGAGGCTGCGGACATCAGAGTGCCAAGTGGCAGAGTTGACGCGCCAAGATAGCAGTCAGGTCTTGTATTGCAACGCCCGCAGTCTCCACAAATACCGTGCCGGAGCTCTGTGCGCGGACCGCGGGGACCAATTTGAGAGCTCTTCCTTGTGCAAAGACTTGTGCGAGACCTCGCACGGTTGCCAGGGCAGTGTAGTGAGCTTCTCCCCCATGCTGGAACCGTTGGATCCGGACCAGAAGGATGATGGAGGCGATACGACTCCAACGAGGGATACCAGCCCCTTTTTGGCCAAGTGCGTCAAGTCGTGGCTGATGTTCTCCCATCCCACAAATGGACACCGGCGAGTGGACCTGGGCATCTACCTGAACATGGACCCTTTGGATCAGGGCTCCTGGAAATCCCCCTGGGTGCTCAACCAAGGGCCCAGTGGCTATTCGGACCTTGCCGTCTGCGAGGAGGGCAACTCGCAGATGTTCGGATGCTTATTCGAGTGCGGGGTGTCCCACGAGTGTGAAGAAATCGCCTTTCGGTTATTCACCGACGCTGAGCTCCTGCGGAACGTGGCCCAAAGCTGTCCATGCACAGTTTCTGCTGCAGAGTCACAATAGTGGAGAGATGAATAAATAAACACAATAATAATAATAATAATAATAATAATAATAATAATAATAATAATGTATTGTCGAAGGCTTTCATGGCCGGAATCACTCAGTTCTTGTGGGTTTTTTCGGGCTATATGGCCATGTTCTAGAGGCATTTCTCCTGACGTTTCGCCTGCATCTATGGCAAGCTTCCTCAGAGGTCTGGGCATGTTTAGACCTCTGAGGAAGCTTGCCATAGATGCAGGCGAAACGTCAGGAGAAATGCCTCTAGAACATGGCCATATAGCCCGAAAAAACCCACAAGAACTGAATAATATAATGGCTTAGAGCAGTGTTTCTCAACCTGGGGGTCGGGACCCCCGAGGGGGTCGTGAGGGGGTGTCAGAGGGGTCGCCAAAGACCATCAGAAAACATAGTATTTTCTGTTGATCATTGGGATTCTGTGTGGGAAGTTTGATCCAATTCTATTGCTGGTCGAGTTCAGAATGCTCTTTGATTGTAGGTCAGTGGTTCCCAACCTTCGTAATGCCGCGACCCCTTAATACAGTGCCTCACGTTGTGGTGACCCCCAACCATAAAATTATTATTATTGCTACTTCCTAATTATAATTGTGTTACTGTTATGAATCATAATGTAAAAAATCTGAAATGCAGGATGTATTTTCATTCACTGGACCAAATTTGGCACAAATACCCAACAACAGCGCTCCATGCCGTCATGTCAGCCACATGACCTTGGAGGTGTCTATGGACAACGCCGGCTCTTTGGCCTAGAAATTGAGCACCAACTCCCAGAGTTGGACACGACTGGACTTAATGTCAGGGGAAAACTTTTACCTTACGTTACCCAATAGGCCCAAATTTGAATACTGGTGGGGTTGGAAGGAAAATTGATTATGTCATTTGGGAGTTGTAGTTGCTGGGATTTATAGTTCACCTACAATTAAAGAGCATTTTGAACTCCACCAATGATGGAATTGGACCAAACTTGGCACACAGAACTCCCACAACCAACGAAAAATACTGGAAGGGTCTGGTGACCACTGACCTTTTGTTTGGGAGTTGTAGTTCACCTGCATCCAGAGAGCATTGCAGATTCACACAATGATGGATCTGGACCACACTTGGCACAGATACTCAATATGCCCCAATGTGAACACTAGTGGAGTTTGGGGAAAATAGACCTTGACATTTGGGATATGCAGTTGCTGGGATTTATAGTTCACCTGCAACGAAGAGCCCTCGCCTGCTCCGCACCCTTGCCTGCCGGCGGGAGAGCCCAAGGAGCCACTCGCCCATCCCTCACCTCCTTCTGCCATCAGAAGGAGATGAGGGACAGGCGGATGGTTTCGCGCGCGGGAATGCCAGTGGCACAGGGGGTCGGCCGCCATTTTGGAGGGGCCGTGGCCAGCCAATGCGGCTTTGCGACCCCCAGAAAATGGCAAAACGACCCCCCGAGGGGTCATGACCCCCAGGTTGAGAGCCGCTGTTGTAGGTGAACTATAAATCCCAACAACTACAACTCCCAAATGTCAAGGCCTGTTTTCCCCAAACTCCAACAGTGTTCACATTTGGGCACATTGAGTATTCGTGCCAAGTTTAGTCCAGATCTATCATTGTTTGAGTCCACAGTGCTTTCTGGAGATAGGTGAACTACAACTCCCAAACTCAAGGTCAATGCTGACAAAACCCTTCCAGTGTTTTCTGTTGGTCAGGGGAGTTCTGTGTGCCAAGTTTAGTTCAATTCCATTGCTGGTGGGGTTCAGAAAAGCCCCCTTTTCAAAGCCTCCTTCAGGATCGCAAACCAAAGTGAGGGAATGACTTTCCAAAATGGCCGCCACATCTACTAGACTACAAAATGGCTGCTATTTCTTGGCAATTGAAAAAAGGGCTTTCTTTCTTCTCTCCTTGGAAAGAATAGTTGTTTTTTTTATATATATTTAGGACTGATGAAACCAAAGGGTGATTAATATTTCCCCTTTGTTGACATTTTTGCCTCAGGATTCGCAGCATATGACTGCCAGTTGATCCTTCAGAGATCATTTGACTTGGCTTGTATGTATTGCGGCTTTTGAAAGGCCTACAACCAGAACTGAATAATTTTGCAGATTACTGTGTCAGCTTCCCTACGCTTTTTGGGATTTAAAGAACGGCTTTTTAAAGCCGAAAAGCAGTAAAATTTCACAAAATCTCACAACTTATTGTTACTGCTTTTGCTTATTGATGTACTGTGGGTTTGACCTCATGTAAGCCGCACCGAGTCATAGAATAATAGAATCAAAGAGTTGGAAGAGACCTCTTGGGCCATCCAGTCCAACCCCCTGCCAAGAAGCAGGAATATTGCATTCAAATCACCCCTGACAGATGGCCATCCAGCCTCTGCTTAAAAGCTTCCAAAGAAGGAGCCTCCACCACACTCCGGGGCAGAGAGTTTCACTGCTGAACGGCTCTCACAGTCAGGAAGTTCTTCCTCATGTTCAGATGGAATCTCCTCTCTTGTAGTTTGAAGCCATGGCTCCATTGCGTCCTAGTCTCCAGGGAAGCAGAAAGGAAGCCTGCTCCCTCCTCCTCCCTGTGGCTTCCTCTCACATATTTATACATGGCTATCATATCTCCTCTCAGCCTTCTCTTCTTCAGGCTAAACATGCCCAGCTCCTTAAGCCGCTCCTCATAGGGCTTGTTCTCCAGACCCTTGATCTGCTCCCTCCTCCCTGTGGTTTCCTCTCACATATTTATACATGGCTATCATCATATCCCCTCTCAGCCTTCTCTTCTTCAGGCTAAACATGCCCAGCTCCTTAAGCCGCTCCTCATAGGGCTTGTTCTCCAGACCCTTGATCTGCTCCCTCCTCCCTGTGGCTTCCTCTCACATCTTTATACATGGCTATCATCATATCTCCTCTCAGCCTTCTCTTCTTCAGGCTAAACATGCCCAGCTCCTTAAGCTGCTCCTCATAGGGCTTGTTCTCCAGACCCTTGATCTGCTCCTCCTCCCTGTGGCTTCCTCTCACATATTTATACATGGCTATCATATCTCCTCTCAGCCTTCTCTTCTTCAGGCTAAACATGCCCAGCTCCTTAAGCCGCTCCTCATAGGGCTTGTTCTCCAGACCCTTGATCTGCTCCCTCCTCCCTGTGGCTTCCTCTCACATATTTATACATGGCTATCATATCTCCTCTCAGCCTTCTCTTCTTCAGGCTAAACATGCCCAGCTCCTTAAGCCGCTCCTCATAGGGCTTGTTCTCCAGACCCTAGATCTGCTCCCTCCTCCCTGTGGCTTCCTCTCACATATTTATACATGGCTATCATCATATCCCCTCTCAGCCTTCTCTTCTTCAGGCTAAACATGCCCAGCTCCTTAAGCCGCTCCTCATAGGGCTTGTTCTCCAGACCCTTGATCTGCACCCTCCTCCCTGTGGCTTCCTCTCACATATTTATACATGGCTATCATCATATCCCCTCTCAGCCTTCTCTTCTTCAGGCTAAACATGCCCAGCTCCTTAAGCCGCTCCTCATAGGGCTTGTTCTCCAGACCTTTTATCAGTCCCTTGAGGAGATGGTAGCGGGGTACAAATAAAGTTTTATTATTATTATTATTATTATTATTATTATTATTTATTATAACTTGGAGACTGGGGTACAATCGCAGCCCTTTGATAGTACTTTTAATTGCCATGATGCTGGACTTCTATGCTAGCCAGAAAAACCACTAAACTCTCCAAATACGGGCATGGACTTCCTGGACCCGCCTCCTCCCAAGAGACAGACACCCCCCTCGACAGCTGATTGGCTGTCCCTAGTGCCAGTCCCTTTGACTGTGTGGATCATAATAAATGGTGGCAAGTTCTTGGTGGTATGAGGACACCAAGCCATCTTGTTTCTCTCCTAAGGAATCTGTATAACGACCAAGTAGCAACAGTCAGAACTGACCACGGAACAACAGACTGGTTCACGATTGGGAAAGGTGTACGGTAGGGTTGTAGACTCTCCCACAACCTATTCAACTTGTATCATGCAATGTCTCACCACGCTAAAACAAGAGAACTCAGGCCTAGCTTCACACTTGAATGCTACGTTGCCTGAACTGACTCTTAAGTATACAACTTGTTAATTAATGGGCACCTATGCCATCATGTATTTCCCCCCAATTAATAATAATAATAATAATAATAATAATCTTATATATTAAATAATAATAATATTCTCATATACTTAACTGCATCCCCAACTTAATAATAATAATAATAATAATAATAATAATAATATCCTTATATAATAATAATAATAATAACAATAATATCCTTATATATTAGACAATAATAATAAAAATAATATTCTCATATACTTAACTGCATCCACAATTTAATAACAACAATAACAATTGTAATAATGTGTTGTCGAAGGCTTTCATGGCCGGAATCACTGGGTCACTGTGATTTTTCCGGGCTGACTAGCCATGTTCCAGAAGCATTCTCTCCTGGTGTTTCGCCCACAACTATGGCAGGTCTGTTGGAAACTAGGCAAGTGGGCTTTATATACCTGTGGAATAATGTCTAGGGTGGAAGAAATAACTCTTGACTGTTTGAGGTAGGTGTGAATGTTGCAATTGGCCACTTTGATTAGCATTTCATGGCCTTGTAGTTTCAAAGCCTGGCTGATTGCTGCCTGGGGGGGATCCTTTGTTGGGTGTTGCTAGCTGGCCCTGGTCGATTCTTGTCTGGAATTCCCCTGACCCAATTAGGGCCACCTAACACCTCCCAACAAAGGGTTTCCCCAGGCAGGAAGCAGCCAGGCTTTGAAGCTGCAAGGCTTTGCAATGCTACTCAAACTCACAGGAACCCAATAATAATAATATCCTCATACACTTAATAGTAATAATAATATCCTCATATGCATGATAATAATGATAATAATTGTAGTGGCATCCCTTTGAAAGGTGAAAAAAACCACCATGACATCACTCTTTGCCTCCCTCCCCGTGACATCACGCAGCCCCTTCCCCTTGTGTGACATCACCCTTCCTTTAGCCGGTATTGCACCACCTGACCAAGGCAGAGACATCTCCAGCTCATCCCGTTTGGGTATCAGCCAGCACGTCAACGACTTAAATCAAGAAATAGTTTTCTAAGATCTACGGAGACACTTGGTGGAACACCTCAGCAAGCAAGAGTCCAAAAGTGGCAGGCTCAAACCCAGAACCTCAATCAGTGGCTGATACCCAATGAGAGACTCCCCCCTGGGCACACAGAAGACTGGGCAACTTGGAAGGTGACTTGGAAGGTGGTCAGTGGTTTGATCTTCTTCACACTCACATGTCGTAGATTCCACTTTGTAGCCCCATTTCTTAAGATTGGCTCTGCATAATAACAATAACAATAACATTCCCTTTTAAAATTAAGAATGCAAAGTGGCTCATATCACTAATTAAAAATGCAAATACAATTAATGGCCCTAGAAAACTACAAAGTCCCAGGATTCCATGGCACTACAATCTGCTGCAGTTTGCTGCAGTTGCACCAAACTGCAATTACCTCCTGTCCTTGCAAGCATCATTTTTGATTAAGAATGCAAAGTGGCTCACATCACTAATTAAAAATGCAAATGCAATTAATGGCCCTACAGGACTACAAAGTCCCAGTATTCCATGGCACTACAATCTGCAGCAGTTGCACCAAATTGCAATTACCTCCAGTCCTTGCAAGCATCATTTTTGATTAAGAATGCAAAGTGGCTCACAACACTAATTAAAAATGCAAATGCAATTAATGGCCCTACAGAACTACAAGGTCCCAGGATTCCATGGCACTACAATCTGCTGCAGTTGCATCAAATTGCAATTACCTCCAGTCCTTGCAAGCATCATTTTTGGTTAAGAATGCAAAGTGGATCATATCAYTAATTAAAAATGCAAATGCAATTAATGGCCCTACAAAACTACAAAGTCCCTGGATTCCATGGCAGTACAATCTGCAGCAGTTGCACCGAATTGCAATTACTTCCACTCTTTGGAAGCATCTTTTTGATTAAGATTGCAAAGTGGCTCACATCACTAATTAAAAATGCAAATGCGATTAATGGTCCTAGAAAACTACGAAGTCCCAGGATTCCATGGCACTACAATCTGCAGCAGTTGCACCGAATTGCAATTACTTCCACTCTTTGGAAGCATCTTTTTGATTAAGATTGCAAAGTGGCTCACATCACTAATTAAAAATGCAAATGCAATTAATGCCCCTACAGAACTACAAAGCCCCAGGATTCCATGGCACTACAATCTGCTGCAGTTGCACCAAATTGCAATTACCTCCAGTCCTTGGAAGCATCATTTTTGATTTAAGAATGCAAAGTGGCTCACATTACTAATTAAAAATGCAAATGCAATTAATGGCTCTACAGAACTACAAAGTCCCAGGATTCCATGGCACTACAAACTGCTGCAGATTGCTACAGTTGCATCAAATTGCAATTACCTCCAGTCCTTGCAAGCATTTCTGATTAAGAATGCAAAGTGGCTCACATCACTAATTAAAAATGCAAATGCAATTAATGGCCCTACAAAAGTCCCTGCATTCCAGCTAATGCAGAATAGTGCACTGCAAACTGCTGCAGATTGCTACAGTTGCACCCAATTGCAATTGCCTCCAGTCCTTGCAAGCATCCTTTTTGTCTTTGAGTGCTTAGAACTTCAACTCCCAGAAGCCCCACCCAGCTTGGTGGACTGCAAAGGATTCTGGGAAATGAAGTCCAAAACACCTGGAGGGCTAAAGCTGGGGAAACACAGTGGCGTTTAGAGCATCTCAGGAGCATGCAGGAAAGGGGAAAACGTTGCAGCCCACATGCATCAGACCCAGGGCTTGCAAAAGTTACAATTTTGGGGTGCAATGGCTGCTGAAAAGGAGGGGAGGAGTGCTGCCCAGTGGGAGGGAGGGATGGAGGAGAAAGGGGCGGCCCTGCAGAACAAGAGGAGGAGGGAGGAAGGAAGGAAGGAAAGAGAGAAACAGGTTTCTCCTCCTCTTTCCTCCTTCTTCGCCCGGGCTCCATTTTTTCGCAGTGTGTTCCCATCTTGCAGCTGCAGCAGAATCAGATGATGTTTGCATGAGCCAAACATCAGCTGCAAGGTGAGTGGGGAATGAATGAAGGATGGGTGGGAAATGCAGAATGATGCTCGAATTTCCAGTGGGTTTGTTGTCGAAGGCTTTCATGGCTGGAATCACTTCATTGCTGTGAGGTTTTTCCTGGCCATGTCCCAGTAGCATTCTCTCCTGACGTTTCGCCTCCACCCGTGGCAGGCATCTTCCTAGGTATCTGATGTGAGTCAAGCATGTAGAGTGTTTATGTACCTGTGCAATGATGTCCAGGGTGGGAGAGAACCCAGTCTGTTTGAAGCCAGTGTAAATATTGCAGTGAGCAAGCTAGTTTAGCATTGAGGAGACTTACAGCTGCAAAGTCAATCAGTGAGGGTATCTGCATACAGGTAGCGAGGCAAATGGAGTGTGTATATATGTGTGTGCGTGTGCAATTATGTCCACAGTGGGATGAAGTACATGTTGCAATGACCAAGCTAGATTAGCACTGAGGAGCCTTGCAGCTGCAAAGTCAGTCAGTGAGGGTATCTGCATACAGGTAGTGAAGCAAGTAGAATGTGTGTGTGTATGTGGATTGATGTCCAGGGTGGGAGAAAGAACCCTTGTCTGTCTGAAGCAAGTGTAAATGTTGCAATGAGCAAGCTAGATTAGCACTGAGGAGCCTTGCAGCTGCAAAGTCAGTCAGTGAGGGTATCTGCATACAGGTAGCGAAGTAAGTGGAATATATGTGTGTGTGTGTGTGTAGAATGATGTCCAGGGTAGGAGAAAGAACCCTTGTCTGTTTGATGCAAGTGTAAATGTTGCAATGAGCAAACTAGATTAGCACTGCAGCTGCAAAGTCAATCAGTATGTGGAATGATGTCCAGGGTGGGAGAAAGAACACTTGTCTGCCTGAAGCAAGTGTAAATGTTGCAATTAGCAAGCTAGATTAGCACTGAGGAGCCTTGCAGCTGCAAAGTCAATCAGTGAAGGTATCTGCATACAAGTAGCGAGGAAAGTGGAATGCGTGCCTATCTATCTATCTATCTATCTATCTATCTGTGGAATGATTTCCAGGGTGGGAGAAAGAACCCTTGTCTGTCTGACGCAAGTGTAAATGTTGCAATTAACAAACCAGATTAGCATTGAGGAGCCTCGCAGTTGCATAATTAATCAGTGAAGGTATCTACATACAGGTAGCGAGGCAAGTTGAATGTATATATGTCTGTGGAATGATTTCCAGGGTGGGAGAAAAAACCCATGTCTGTTTGAAGCAAGTGTAATTGTTGCAGTTAGCAAACTAGCATTGAGTAGCCTTGAGCTACAAAGTCAGTCAGTGAGGGTATCTGCATACAGGTAGTGAGGAGAGTGGAATGCATGTCTATCTATCTATCTATCTATCTATCTATCTATCTATCTATCTATCTGTGGAATGATATCCAGGGTGGGAGAAAGAACCCATTTCTGTTTGAAGCAAGTGTAAATGTTGCAGTTAGCAAACTAGATTAGCATTGAATAGCCTTGCAGCTGCAAAGTCAGTCAGTGAGGGTATTTGCATACAGGTAGTGAGCCAAGTGGAGTGTATATATACTTGTGGAATGACGTCCAGGGTGGAAGAAAGAACCCTGTCTGTCTGAAGCAAGTGTAAATGTTGCAATTAGTAAGCTAGATCAGCGTTAAGGAGCCTTGAAGCTGCAAAGTCAGTCAGGGTTTCTGCACTGATCAAGCCTATAGAAGAGACTTCTGACTAAATCTGAGAATTGGGAAACACAGCAAGGTGTGGCATAAGAGGCTGCTGATTAAGATTACAAAATTGTATAATTAAAAACCCAGTCAAGTTAAGACAAGGTAGCTGCTGAAATTGAGGATAAGGTTAGGATTGTAGTGCTCTCTCCTTGGTTAAGACTCAACATTGGACCTCTTGAAGTTGATGAATCAATGCAACACAGGACTGCAGTTTGGACAAATAAGTCTTCCCTTCTTCCTCCCCATTCTTGCAGAATATTTCTGTGTGACCAGCAAACATGGCGGAAGCTCTGGCTGACTCCAAGAAAGTGACTCTTTTTAGCCAGAAGACACGAGGAGGACTCACCTACCGCATCCCAGCATTGCTGTACTTGCCCTATGAGTCCACCTTCCTGGCCTTTGCAGAAGAACGCTCCTCGCCCAGAGACGAAGATGCCAAGTTCCTGGTGATGAGGCGAGGGAAGAAAGAAGGGACGTCTGTACAGGTATGCTTCCTCGTTTTGTGCTTTAGCCTTGCGGACCTTTTCCTACAGGTGTTGGCTATTAGTTTGAATTCTTCTTTGGTGATTTCTCCCTTTTCCACTTCTTGTGCATGTCTCTTTTGTGTTTTAGCACAGTTAGAAGTTCTTTGGACATCCATTCTGGCTTCTTTGCACTTGTCCTATTTTTTCTCTTTGTTGGCACAGTTTGCAATTGAAAACAATCCTTTTATTGAATACTAGCTGTACCCGCCACTCGTTGTTGTGGCCAACCTTCCCTCCCTCTTTCTCTCCTTCTTTCTTTCTCTCCTTCCTTCCCTCCCTCCCTCTTTCCTTCCCTCTTTTTCTTTCCCTTCTTTTCTTCCTTCCTTCTCTACCTGTTTCTTTTCTCGCTTCCTTTGCTCTTTGGTTCCATCCTTCCTTGTCTCTTTCCTTCCTTCCTTCCCTCCCTCTTTCTCTCTTTCGCTCCTTCTCTCCTTTCTTCCCTCTTTCACTTTTTTATTTCATTCTCTCCCTCCTTCTCTCCTTCCTTCCTTCTCTACCTTTCTTTCTTTCCTTCTTTCTCTCCTTCCCTTCTTCTTTCCCTCTTTCTCTCCCTCCTTCCTTCTCTACCTTTCTTTCTTTCCTTCTCTCCTTTCTCTCCCCCTCTCTCCTTCCTTCCCTCCTTCTCTCCTTCCTTGCTTCCTTCCTTCTCTACCCTTTTTTCTTTCCTTTATTCTCTCCTTCCTTCTCTACCCTTCTTTTTCCTTCCTTCCCTCCCTCTTTTTCTCTTTCGTTCCTTCTCTCCTTCCTTGTCTCTTTCACTTTTTTTATTTCATTCTCTCCCTCCTTCTCTCCTTCCTTCCTTTTCTACCTTTCTCTCTCCTTCCCTTTTTCTCTCCCTCCTTCTCTCTTCCTTCTCTACCCTCTTTTCCTTCCTTCTCTCCTTCCCTCCTTCTTTCCCTTCTTCTCTCTTCCTTCTTCTTCTCCTCCTTCTTCTTTCCTTCTTTCTCCCTCCTTTCTCCCTCCTTCTCTCCTTCCTTCTCTACCCCTTCTTTCTTTCCTTCTTTCTTCCTTCCTTCTTCTTTCCCTCCCTCCTTTCTCTCCTTCTTCTTCCTTCTCTCCTTCTTTCCTTTCTTCTCTCCTTCCTTCCTTCTCTTCCCTTCTTTCTTTCCTTCCTTCTCTTCCTCCTTCCTTCCTCCTTTCTGTGTATGTGTTTTGTGTGTGTATATGCATATATGTGTGTATATGTGTGTTTGTGTATATATATGTGGTTTTGCACGTGCGTTGTAATGTACTTTTTTGGTTTGTTTTTTTTTTTGCTTTTTAAGTCCTTTCTGCTGTGTTTTTCAGTGTTTACGTGAGTGATGGTCACTCATTGGCCTGATAGGTGTACTGTGTCCAAATTTGGCGTCAATTCGTCCAGTGCTTTTTGAATTCTGTTAATCCCACAAACGAACGTTAAATTTTTTATTTATATAGATAATGAGAAAGCAGCAAGTAAAAAAGCACTTAAAAGAAATAGGTAAATCCAATTAGGTAAGAAGATAAGCAGGAGCAAAAATAATCCAGGGTAAAGTTCAGCAAAGTCCATAAAACAAAGTCCACACTTCTCTAATATAATTCAGGAATGTATTGTCGAAGGCTTTCATGGCTGGAATCACTGGGTTGTTGTAGATTTTTTCAGGCTATATGGCCATGGTCTAGAGGCATTCTCTCCTGACGTTTCGCCTGCATCTATGGCAAGCATCCTCAGACATATCCAACAGACCTCACTACCTCTGAGGATGTTTGCCATAGATGCAGGCGAAACGTCAGGAGAGAATGCCTCTAGAACATGGCAACATAGCCCGAAAAAAACTACAACAACCCATAATTCAGGAAAAACAGGAAACATTAATCCAAGGCATGAGTAGACATTCATACACTCCAAGAGTCCAAACCATGAACAAGAATCTTCCAAGCAAAGCTTCCATGAAATAAACTACACTTGATTCCAACGATGCTTCATCTGACTATATTTCCCAAAACTTGAACTTTTATCCCCTCGTTAAACTATTCCACGCACTCAGGAAATTGGTTTTGTTTTACTTGAAATCCCCTTATCTTTTTCTGTCGGAGCCTGGCAGACCGCCGAAGGCACTGTTCGGCCTGTCTGTTTTGACTAATTTCCTCTCGCCTATCTCTTTGCTCATTAAGTCTCACAGCAGGGCCAGGTGCCCAGTTGTTTTCAAGCTCCAAATCCTGGGAACCCTCTGGTAGCAATCCAGGGAGTATACTATCTGTTGCACTCTCTTCAGGGACATTCTCATGGGAAACTACACTTTGCACAGGGGTCTCCTGGTCCTTCTCCGTATCAGTATCATTGACCAAACCTTTGCCATCTTGAAATTCATTGGCATCACTTCCCATATCCAAAGTATCCTGATCTGAAACACAATCACAGGCTGAACTCCCAACAGTGAGAGGCTCAACTACATAAAGAAACACTCTAAAGCAGGCATGGGCCAACTTTGGCCCTCCAGGTGTTTTGGACTTCAACTCCCACAATTCCTAACAGCCTACCGGCTGTTAGAAATTGTGGGAGTTGAAGTCCAAAACACCTGGAGGGCCAAAGTTGGCCCCTGCCTGCTCTGAAGCATCTCTAGCATAGTATTGGGCCATTTGTGACCTCACCTGGTGTTGGAATTCAACCCCATGCTGCTCAAGTCTGCAGTCCTCAATGAGGATAAGTTAGTTAACATTAGATCTCAATTCAAGGTGTATTTTTCTCATTTCCAGTTTCAGATGTCTTACATTTCACAGTCGTCGAGCTATTCTGGAAATATGCAATCTCTTTTATTATTAGAGGTATACCTTTTCCAATTAAATAATTCACTGATATCTGTATTTTTTTCCAGTGAAGCAATAATGACTAACGATTCCCAATTTGCCAGCTTTCGATCAAACAAAGCCGTGTCGCACGCTGAACAATTGCATTTCAACTTGCAACATCTTCATTGTTTTGTGGGACATTTTTCAGTTATTCGTCTTCCAAGAACAATTCTCCGATTCACTTTTAACTAGACTCTGGGCTAGAGAAGAAGGAATAGAAAAAACAATATTAAACCAGATTTTTAGGTCCTAACATTCACCATTTTAATTTATACTAGCCGTCCCCTGCCACATGTTGCTGTGTCCCAGTCTGTGTATATGTGTTTTGTGTGTGTATATATTTGTGTTTACGTATATACTTGAGTATAAGCCAACCCGAATATAAGCCGAGGCACCTAATTTTACCACAAAAAAACATGAAAACGGATTGACTCGAGTATAAGCCGAGGGTTTTATTTGTTTATCGTGTGATCAGCATCCATACCATTTTATTACATTTCTAACAACAAAACAAACAGATTTTAAAAAAAACAACAACAACACAGATTTTGCAAACTTGGTAGTTGATTAGATGTCCTTTGACCAGTATCTGTCCCCTTGGAGTGCCTCTGGTGTTGCCGCAAGAAGGTCCTCCATGGTGCATGTGGTAGGGCTCAGGGTGCATTGCAGCAGGTGGTCAGTGGTTTGCTCTTCTCCACACTCGCATGTCGAGGATTCCACCCTGTAGCCCCATTTCTTAAGATTGGCTCTGCATCTCGTGGTGCCAGAGTGCAGTCTGTTCAGCGCCTTCCAAGTTGCCCAGTTTTCCGTTTGCCCAGGAGGGAGTCTCTCATCTGGTATCAGCCACGGATTGAGGTGCTGGGTTTGAGCCTGCCACTTTTGGACTCTTGCTTGCTGAGGTGTTCCAGCGAGTGTCTCTGTAGATCTTAGAAAACTATTTCTAGATTTAAGTCGTTGATGTGCTGCTGATACCCAAACAGGGGATGAGCTGGAGATGTCTCTGCCTTGGTCCTTTCACTATTGGCTGCTACTTCCCAGCGGATGTCAGGTGGTGCAATACCGGCTAAGCAGTGTAATTTCTCCAGTGGTGTAGGGCGCAGACACCCTGTGATAATGCGGCATGTCTCATTAAGAGCCACATCCACTGTTTTAGTGTGGTGAGATGTGTTCCACACTGGGCATGCGTACTCAGCAGCAGAGTAGCATAGCGCAAGGGCAGATGTCTTCATTGTGTCTGGTTGTGATCCCCAGGTTGTGCCAGTCAGCTTTCGTATGATATTGTTTCTAGCGCCCACTTTTTGCTTGATGTTCAGGCAGTGCTTCTTGTAGGTCAGAGCACGGTCCAGAGTGACTCCCAAGTATTTGGGTGCGCTGTAATGCTCCAGTGGGATTCCTTCCTTCCCAGGTAATAATCCTCAGAGCTCGGGATGCTTGTCTGTTCTTAAGGTGAAAGGCACATGTCTGTGTTTTAGATGGATTAGGGATCAGCTGGTTTTCCCTGTAATAGGCAGTAAGGGCACCTAGAGCTTCGGAGAGCTTCTGTTCAACCATCTCAAAGCTCCCTGCTTGAGCGGTAATGGCACGATCATCAGCATAGATGAAACTCTCTGTCCCTTCTGGCAGTGGCTGGTCGTTTGTGTAAATGTTGAACATGGATGGAGCAAGCACGCTCCCCTGAGGCAATGCAAACATTCCGTGCAGATTATACAATGACAAGACAGACAACAGATAGAGGTATATATAGGCTTTCCCATCTTTCGGCATCTTTGGAGGCTGTGCTCAGTTCCGGCCACAGGGGGTGCTGTCGCTCCATCTCCTTGCCACTTTCTTTGTTCATAAACTTCCTCCTTTTTCTGATTGAAATACCTCCCCACTTTAACGCAGTAACTATTTATTTACTCACATTTGCTTTTGAACTGCTGGGTGGGCAGAAGCTGGGCTAAAGACCACGAGCTCACCCTGACTTCGAACTGTCAACTTTCTAGTTGGCAAGATTTATTGCAGATAGTGGTTAACCTGCTGTGTGTTGTTCATGTACCACAGTTCCTATTTATTTACTCACATTGGCTTTTGAACTGCTGGGTAGGCAGAAGCTGGGCTAAAGGCCAGGAGCTCACTCTGACCTGGGCTTTGAACTGTCAACCTTCTGGGTGGCAAGATTTATTACAGATAATGATTAACCACCTGTGTGTTGATCGAGTACGTTTATGTTTACATTTATGTTTCAGATCAAGTCAGGGGTGCTATGGTTTTTAACTTTGAACATATTTACTGCCATGTAAAATCCAGATTATCTACTTAGGACTGGATTATATGGCAGTGTAGACGCACACACGCGTGCACACACACATATATGGATGTTGGATCACTGGTTGGTGTGATATATATATATAGAATTATAATACTTTATATATTACTATTATATATATTGCTATATAATATATATTATATACATTATTGTTATATATACTACTATATAATATAATGTTACTACTATATATTACTATATTAAATAGACTCATAGAATAGACTTAGAAGGGACTCTACTATAGTATTGGGGGAGAACAGATAGGAAGGAAGGAGAGAAGAAAGGAGGGAGGGAAAAAGGGAAGGAATGAAGGAGGGAAAGGGCGAGGGAAGGAAAGAGAGAAGGAGGGAGGGAGGGAAAGAAGGAAAGAGTAAAGGAAGGAAGGAAGGAAGGAAGGAAGGAAGGAAGGAAGGAAGGAAGGGCTTGTTCATAGGGCTTGTTCTCCAGACCCTTGATCATTTGAGTCGCCCTCCTCTGGACACATTCCAGCTTGTCAATATCTCTCTTGAATTGTGGTGCCCAGAATTGGACACAATATTCCAGATGTGGTCTAACCAAAGCAGAATAGAGGGGTAGCATGACTTCCTTAGATCTAGACACTATGCTCCTATTGATGCAGGCCAAAATCCCATTGGCTTTTTTTGCCACCACATCACATTCCTGGCTCATGTTTAACTTGTTGTCCACGAGGACTCCAAGATCTTTTTCACACGTATAGGCATTGTACTTTTCTTTATGTGTCTTTAACTGGTTAAAAATAAAAATTAGAATAATAATATAGGCATTGTACTTTTCTTTATGTGTCTTTAGCTGGTTAAAAACACAAATTAGAAATGACAAAAAAATCATGAGCAGTTCAAAGCCATTTAAAAATTCACCCTTTCGGTCTTTTCCTCTTTTTCCGACTCTAGTGGGGCCCTCAGGAGTCTTTGATGGCGGCCACTCTTCCCAAATGCCGCACCATGAACCCTTGCCCGCTGTACGAAGAGAAGAGCGGCACCATTTTCCTCTTTTTCATCTGCGTCCGCGATCACGTCACGGCGCAATGCCAGATCCTGACGGGGAGAAACGCCGCCAGGTTGTGCTACATCTCCAGCCGAGACTGCGGGCGTACTTGGAGCCTGGTGGTCGATTTGACAGAAAAGGCCAACCCAAAAAATTGGGCCACCTTTGCCGTGGGTCCGGGCCACGGGGTCCAGCTGAGCTCCGGCCGCTTGGTAATCCCGGCGTACGCCTATTACATCCACAAGCCTTGCTTCTGCTTCTTCTCCTTCTGCTACACGCATCCGCATTGCTTCACTTTATACAGCGACGACGGCGGGAGGAATTGGACCCGGGGACGGCTCCTGGAGAGTGTGCGCACCACCGAGTGCCAAGTGGCCGAGCTGACGTGCCGGGACGACCGCCGCGTCTTGTACATCAATGCCCGGAATTCGTGCCGGGAGCAGTGCCGGGCCGAAGCCTTCAGCCACGACTGGGGTTGCCAATTCGAGGGATCCTTCCTGTGCAGGGAGTTGTGTGAGCCTCCAAAGGGGTGCCAAGGGAGCGTGGTGAATTTCGGATCCTCGGATCTGGGTGAATCACAAGCATCGAGTGGCTATACGTCATCCAGATCGTGGCTCATTTTCTCGCACCCCACAAGCCGGTGCCAGCGTGTGGACCTGGGCATCTACTTGAACATGTCTCCCTTGGAGAAGGGCTCCTGGAAAGGCCCTTGGGTGCTGAACGAAGGGCCCAGCGGCTATTCGGACCTGGCCGTGTGCAAGGAAGGGAAGTCCCTGCTATTCGGTTGCTTGTTTGAGTGCGGGACATCCTCCGCCTATGAAGAGATCGCCTTCCAACTCTTCTCCGATGTCGAACTTCTGAGGAATGTGAGAGAAAGCTGACCCCTCAAAACTACAACAGCTTTCCTTTCCTCCAGGATAGATTCCTCTCAAGGAGAAGGGGGGGAAACTGACCATCTCATATCCTCCAACTGTCCTGATATGGCAGCAACAGACTCCATTAATCCTCTATATTTGTCGTGTCAGGGCAACCAGTCAATTATATTACAATTCTAACAGAACAAAGCAAACAAACAGACAAAATACGAAATCTGCGAGTTTGGTAGTTGATTAAATGTCCTTTGACCAGTATCTGGCCCCTTGGAATGCTTCTGGTGTTGCTGCAAGAAGGTCCTCCGTTGTGCATGTGGCAGGGCTCAGGGTGCATTGCAGCAGGTGGTCAGTGGTTTGCTCCTCTCCACACTCGCATATCGAGGATTCCACTTTGTGGCCCCATTTCTGAAGGTTGGCTCTGCATCTCGTGGTGCCAGAGCATAGTCTGTTCAGTGCCTTCCAAGTTGCCCAGTTTTCTGTGTACCCAGGGGGATGTCTCTCATTTGGTATCAGCCATTGGTTCTGGGTTTGAGCCTGCCACTTTTGGACTCTCGCTTGCTGAGATGTTCCAGAGAGTGTCTCTGTAGAAAACTATTTCTGGATTTAAGTCGTTGATGTGCTGGCTGATACCCAAACAGGAGATGTCTCTGCCTTGGTCCTTTCACTATTGGCTGCAACTTCCCGGCGGATGTCAGGTGGTGCAATACCGGCTAAGCAGTGTAATTTCTCCAGTGGTGTAGGGCGCAGACACCCCGTGATAATGCGGCATGTCTCATTAAGAGCCATATCCACTGTTTTAGTGTGGTGAGATGTGTTCCACACTGAGCATGCATACTCAGCAGCAGAGTATCATAGCGCAAGGGCAGATGTCTTCACTGTGTCTGGTTGTGATCCCCAGGTTGTGCCAGCCAGCTTTCATATGATATTGTTTCTAATACCCACTTTTTGCTCTTTATTCAGGCAGTGCTTCTTGTAAGTAAGAGCATGGTCCAGGTATTTGGGTGCGCTGCAATGCGCCAGTGGGATTCCTTCCCAGGTAATCCTCAGAGCTCGGGATGCTTTTCTGTTCTTAAGGTGAAAGGCACATGTCTGTGTATTAGATGGGTTGGGGATCAGCTGGTTTTCCCTGTAATAGGCAGTGAGAGCACCTAGAGCTTCGGAGAGCTTCTGTTCAACCATCTCAAAGCTCCCTGCTTGAGCGGTGATGGCACGATCGTCAGCATAGATGAAGCTCTCTGTCCCTTCTGGCAGTGGCTGGTCATTTGTGTAGATGTTGAACATGGATGGAGCAAGCACGCTCCCCTGAGGCAGGCTGTTCTTCTGTTTCTGCCATCTGCTTCTCTGGTCCTAGAACTCAACAAAAAAGCTCCTGTTTTGTAGCAGGTTTCCTATGAGGCGGGTGAGGTGGTCGTCCTTTGTGATATTATACATTTTTCTCAGGAGAAGGTGGTGGTTCACTGTATCATAAGCCGCTGACAGGTCTATAAAGACAGCTCCAGCATGCAAGCATTAATCCTCTGCTGTCCCCCTTTTCCAGCTGCTTTTAAAGTGTCCTGGTTTCTCTCTCTTCCTCCCGCTTTCCCCCTTTTTTTTCCAGCTTACTCCAACTGCTGCAAACTCAGTGCCAAAGTACTTTGCTCTCAATTAGAAAGAGAGAATATGGTGGACTCTTGGCCTTTACTGTTAGTTTTCGCAAAAGGAATCTTCTGTAGCCTCTCCTTGCTTCAATGATAGTTTTAGTGTTGGTCGAGTGGGCTTATTAAAAAAGACCCTCATAAATGCACAGCAGAGTAACTTATCAGCAGCAGCCTGACCCAGCACCAGTAGCTCAAAGTGATAAAAGAACAAAAACACAAAGACCAATGTTATCTCTTCCATAGAGGCCTTTTGTTATAGCAAAATAATATAGTTGCACTATTTACAGGAACAAAGTTTCCGTAACACAAATAAAAGTTCTTTACACTTCAATGTATTGTCGAAGGCTTTCATGGCCAGAATCACTGGGTTGTTGTAGGTTTTTCCGGGCTATATGGCCATGTTCTAGAGGCATTCTCTCCTGACGTTTCGCCTGCATCTATGGCAAGCATCCTCAGAGGTAGTGAGGTCTGTTGGAACTAGGAAAAAGGGTTTATATATCTGTGGAATGACCAGGGTGGGACAAAGAACTCTTGTCTAATGGAACTAGGTGTGAATGTTTCAACTGACCACCTGGATTAGCATTTGATGGCCTGGCAGTGCCTGGGGCAATCTTTTGTTGAAAGGTGATTAGATGTCCCTGATTTTTTTTTTCCTTTCTGTTGTTTTGCTGTTGTAATTTTAGAGGTTTTTTTTAATACTGGTAGCATTTTGTTCATTTTCATGATTTCCTCCTTTCTGTTGAAATTGTCCACATACTTGTGGATTTCAATGGTTTCTCTGTGTAGCCTGACATGGTGGTTGTGAGAGTGGTGCCACTCTCACAACATTCCACAGATCTATAAACCCATTTTCCTAGTTCCAACAGAACTATGGCGACATCAATAATCCAAACTTTTTTCTTTTCCACAATCGTAATGTCTGGTGTATTGTGTTCCAAAACTTTGCCAGTCTGGATTCAAAAGTCCCACAGTATTTTTGTGTGTTCATTTTCTACTTTTGCAGGTTGATGATCCCACCAATTCTTTACTACTGGCAGGTGGTCCTTGTGACATAAGTTCCAATGAATCATCTGGGCTGCAGAGTTGTGCCTCTGTTTGTAGTCCTTTTGTACGATTTTCTTGCAGCAGCTGACGATATGATCAATGATGATGATGATGATGATGATGATGATTATTATTATTATTATTATGCTACAACTCCCAGGATTGCATCACATTGAGCATGGTCAGTTAAAGTGACATCAAACTGCATTAATTTGCCAATTTAGATGCACACATAGTTTCTCCTTGCCCATTCCCTATTACCAGGAACCCAGATTTCCATGCTATGTTTACTTAAGTTCTTTTAAGAATTGCACAATGGCTATAAACTTGGCCACTATAGTAATAAATATGTGCAGCCAAATGTGAAAATGTGTTTTTGTGGCTTTTTTTTTGTTGAAAAAACGATTGCTTATCTGGAGTCATCCTTTCAATCAATGTTGATATCACTCCAAACAAGACAGGTCTGGCCTGTTTTGACAGCTGCCTTTGGGATGTGAGCCAATGTCTACAAAGCGAAGGGAAAATATAACTTGTCAAGTGCCAAACTGTTCTCAAATACAATATGTTTGAATACAGTTGGATGGGACACTCTTGTTTTCAGGCTCTTTGTATTCTTAAGGCGTGTACCAGGTAGAATCCTAGAGTTGGAAGAGACCTCATGGGCCATCCAGTCCAACCCCATTCTGCCAAGAAGCAGGAATATTGCATTCAAATCACTCCTGACAGATGGCCATCCAGCCTCTGTTGAAAAGCTTCCAAAGAAGGAGCCGCCACCACACTCCGGGGCAGAGAGTCCCACTGCTGAACGGCTCTCACAGTCAGGAAGTTCTTCCTCATGTTCAGGTGGAATCTTCTTCCTTGTAGTTTGAAGCCATTGTTCCACGTCCTAGTCTTCAGGAAAGCAGAGAACAAGCTTGCTCCCTCCTCCTCCCTTTGACTTCCTCTCACATATTTATACATGGCTATCATATCCCCTCTCAGCCTTCTCTTCTTCAGGCTAAACATGCCCAGCTCCTTAAGCCGCTCCTCATAGGGCTTGTTCTCCAGACTCTTGATCATTTTAGTCGCCCTCCTCTGGACACATTCCAGCTTGTCAATATCTCTTGAATTGTGGTGCCCAGAATTGGTAGGTGGGAAGGAGTGACAGAGTTGGACATCATCTGCGTACAGGTAACACCGCACCCCAAAACTCCGGATGATCTCCCCCAGCGGCTTCATGTAGATGTTAAACAACATGGGAGACAGTATAGAACCCTGCTGGACCCCACAAGACAATGGTTGTGAGGTCGAGCAATTGTCCCCCAGCAACACCTTCTGGGTGAGATCCTCTAGGAAGGACCTGAGCCACTGCAAAACAGTACCACCAAAGCCCATCCCTGCAAGGCATCCCAGAAGGATACCATGGTTGACAGTATTGAAGGCTGCTGAGAGGTCCAGCAGAACTAACAGGGACACACTCCCCCTGTCTAGCTCCCGGCAAAGATCAACTACTAAGGCGACCAAGACTGTTTCACTTCCATGTCCCGGCCTAAAGCCAGACTGTGCCGGATCCAGATAATCCGTGTCTTCCAAGAATACCTGGAGTTGTGAGGCCACCACACGTTCCATGACTTTGCCCAAAAAGGGGAGATTGGAAACAGGCCGATAGTTGACGAATTGAGTGGTACAATGGGAGCAACGAAGCACAAAACTGTTCTTGGCTCATACCTGTTTATCCTCTCCTGGCCACAAATTGAGACTCTTTCATTGCCGCTTGGGCCACTACATCCTCATCACGCAGCACCTGGGACGAAATAAGAGAAAATCTCTTTTAACTAGAAATCATGCCGTACGATAAGGGAACTCTAGGGGTGAGATATAGCTCTGGCCAAATCATGGGCCACAACAATAATGCTCTACATTTGCTCCACACAGCTGCCTTATCTCACCAACTACAACATCTAAAACTGAGGAGCATTTGGTCCTGCAGGTGGACAACAACTCCCATCAGCCTCATCCAGAATGGACAATGACCTATCCATCTGTTTTGGTTTTTTGGGGGGGAGAAATGTCTAGTGAAGTCCATTCTGTAGAGTCTCTTCCAACTCTAGGATTCTAAGGAGTTCAGGGAAGGATGGGCTTACCTGTAATGACGCGGACACCCATGGACGCCAAGGTGCATCTCATGGGACAAGCAGTGACGTCGGCAGATTCCTCGGTGGCTGGCACACATCCTCTTGATCAATGGGACAGCCACCTCCTGCCCAGCTTTAACAACAACAGCAACAACAACATTAGAGGAATGAAAGGAAGAAGACTGTGGCCACTCATTAGTTAGAATCTTCACCAATTTCGCAGGTGAAAACAGACATATGTGGCTATACAACAGAGAGTGGTCAAGGTGGTAAAAATGCACTATGTAACAAAATTGGGAAAAATAGCTTCCTGTTTTGAAAGTGTTGTTTCCTGTTTCATTGTGTGGTCCTTACTTTGTTTCACTCCAGGAACTTTGTTTTTGTGCCTGC